ACCCCATCTTGAGTCCACACCAGCCGTCTGCACGAGCTCAGCCCTCCCAGTCAGTCTACATCCAGGATAACATTGAATCTAGAAGCCCTTCTGATAAAAAGCCTCACATGTAAGAACTCGGGAAAAGAGCACGCATAGCTGGGAAGGCAGGGGGCATCTACGGAAGCAACTGATTCCAGTATGACAACAGCAATGGTAGTAACCATTTTCCGAAGGCTTATTGTGTGCTCAGCTGAGAACTTTTCAGAAGTCATCTCATTTAATCCTCACCATAACCCATGAAATAGCTATCATACCTTCCCCACCCCACATCTGCAGACAAGGCAGTTGAAGGTAATGACATTATAAGAGGTGAAGCTGGGCTTTGAACCCAGCATCAGGACACGGGGCACCTGCACTCCAGCTATTGCATATCCTGCTTGCCAGAAGCCCCCATGGGTCCCTGTCCTTCTCTGTACCTTGGTTCAGAGGCTTCTTGCACATGGAGGACAGCTCACAGGGTCTTTTGGAGTCTTGATTTCCTCATTTTTAAAATGGGGGACAGTGGCCTGGGCAACACATTTTGAACAGTGAATTGTATTTAGCAATTGAAATCAGATGGCTTCCAATAAACTTGACAGTGGATTAGATGGTTCCTGAATTATTTTCAGCTTGGACATTCTAGGTGCCTTTGTCCTCGTCACTCATTCTAATATTTCCCCCTCTCTTAACGTGCCTTGGATCAGCCTAAATCCTCGCTGTGCGTGAATTCATCCACTTTTATGTGCAAATTCATCTCTCAGCTGCAGAGAGATGAAGTCCGCCTGTGCATGCATGTGTCTGGGTGGACTTGTGGCTTGAGGGGACGTGAGGGATCTAAATGAGCAGATGGAGCTGCTGAAGATTAAAAGCACAATGTGGAGTTGGAGACGGACATGTGAGGGGGGAGTGATGCTCGGGCTGAGAGGAAGCGGCACTGCTGGCAGACAGCCACCCTCACTCGGGGATGGGAGCCCAGCTCCGGAATTGGGCTGACTTGGGTCTGGGGTGGCTGGCAGGGCACAGAAGCAGCTGCTGCCCCCACGCTCTGCTGGTACCCACGGGCTCTCCCTCACCTCTTGCAGGAGCAGAGACCAGAAAGCAGTCAGGGAAATGGGATCCTGGTCTCAGGGCAAATTCAGACCAAAGGCCAGGCTGGCTCCAGGGAGAACCCATTCTTCATGTTGCCTTTTTGAAATTGAGATTAAATTAGAGGTCTTGACAGAATGCCATTCAGCAGGGCTTCTCACAGCAGCTCAGGGCTTCACTGGCATGTGGCGGGCAGCAGCGGGACTGGGAGCTGTCACCTGCGGGTCCTGCTGTGACCTGCGCCTCCTTTCCGGGTGCTTATGGCCCGGGGCGAGGGGGAAAGAACAACCATTGGAATCAATGGGCTTTCGGGATTCTAAGAAAGTCAGATAGCAAGTGGCAGGGAGCATCTCTGTGGTGAGGGGGATTTGGGGTATTGATCCCAGCATCCACAGCCCTTCCTGCACAGGGTCCTGCCCATGTAAACGCAGCCTGGCTCCAGGCCGGGGAAGCCCTGGGCACCTTGTTCCTGGTAAGGAACATTGTGGAACCTCAGGGAGCCCTGCTCAGAACCCCACCCCACCCAGGCCTGGTGCCTTTAGACCTCGCTGCCCACGGACAAGTCTTGAGGGATCCTCGTGTTTGCCGTTGGGTATAGGAGAGAGGGAAGAGCAGACATAAGAGCCACATAGCTGCTTGCCTGCCTAGAGGTGAGTACCTAGGAGGGTGAGCAGATTGCTGAGGGTGGGAGGGGGACGAAAATAAGAAGAAAGTGGGAGAGGAAACTGAGGCTTGGAGAAACTCAGTAATTTTTCCCTCAGGCCATGTTTAGTAAACGGGAGTGCGTTTTTTACTCAGAAGGGGTTAAAAACCAGGCCGGTGTCAAATTCTGACTCCCTAACCTACCTGCTAGGTGGTCCTGGGTAAGAAGCACTGATTGTCTTCACATCTTAAGTTTCTTTACCCACAAAGTAAGTGAGATAATGCCCTCCTCACTGGTCTTTGTGAGGCTTACAGGGGCTGGATCTTCAGACACTTGTGACAGTGCCTGCAAGAGACCTCGGGCAGGACTTTCTGCAGGCTGGCTGGTCCCAGGCCCAGGAGGACTAAGAGCCTCTTGCTTTGAGAAACGGAGGGACCTGTAAATGTTTTCCTCATCTCCAATTACTCTCTCCTCTTCCTGGGCCTTGTGGAATCTGTCTTTTCAAGGCATTCAGAAAATGAGAACTTTTGCTGAAAGTCACCTGGCCTCAGGAAGCTTCAGGTAAGTACTCTCTTCTCTCAGTTCTCCAAGCCAGGAAGCTCTTGTCCTAACAGAAACTTAAGAAAGTGCCTACCATAGCATGTCCTGCTCTTTCCTGTCACTTCTTCCAAAATCTATTAACCTCAGTCCAGCCTTGCTACCTTCTTGCACCACTGGCATCACCTAGTCTAGGACAGCAGTTCACCATCCAGGGCTTGACTCCTCTGCAGTGGCTTCAGGGTGGTTACTAAGCTCCATCTTGGTCGCATCTCCTGCTTTGGCAGGTGGGTCCTTTACCACTAGCGCCACCTGGGAAGCCCTGTCCCACCTCTTTAGGATGGACAATCCCACTGCCCGTGGAACCAACAGACTGCTTTCCTGGAATAAGCCGTGATCCTGAGGGTGGTCAGGACGGTGCTCGTGTCTCCTGGCATGAGGAGAGGTGCCCCTCCTTCCACATGGAGATCGTTTTTCCCAGGCTGCCTGGGAGCCCCCCGTGGTAGCATTGTGTGAAAGGCCATGAGACCAGGGAGGGCTGGCTCCGCAGAGATGGAGACTCCCCTGTGTAAACCATTTCTCTCCACCTGCGAGAGGAGGGCGCACCTCCAGTACCGCCAGACATTCCTGCAAAGCAGAGATGACAGCACTTGGCAGCTTCTCCAAAGCAAAGATAATAATATAATTTGACTTTCCCCACTCTTTGGGGAAAGAGATTACATGGATAATAGCCGTTTTCAAGAGCCAGGGAGGAGGAGAGCAGCCAGAGAGAGGGAGGAGGAGGAGGTGCCTGAACTTCAGATCTGAAAAGATGGGTCTGCTAGTTAGGGGCACAGGCAGCCTTCTCCATTTTTAAAGCTCCACTGAATTCTCTCCCCAAAACTGCAAATTTCGCAGCCTCTAATTTTCTTCCCTGCGCTCTGTTTAGCACCAAGCCGTCTCCCTTTGCAATTCAGGGGCCTCTTGAAGAGTGTTTGTTTGCATGATGGGCAAGTCTCAGCCTCTCTAACGCGGCCTGTCACTTACTGGCCACCCAGGGACAGCACTTGGGCAGCAGCACCAAGTGCTCCAGTGAGCCTGACCCAGAGTGAGATTCTTGGGGCTACTCGTTTCCTTCTAGCCCCCAAAGTGCTAATTATCTCTCGTGGTTCCAGGAGCAAAGCTCTTCACTGAAGCCAAGGGCTGTCTCACTTGTGAAGACAGATTTTGTTTGGGTGTGTTGCATCAGATCTCTCAGGAGGAGGGTCTCCTTTCCTACGTGGTCCAAAAACATCTGGTTCTGGACTTCCCTGGTGGTCCAGTGGCCAGGAATCCGTCTGCCAGGGATTCGATGGGTTCAGCTCCCGGTCTTGGAGGATTCCACATGATGCAGGGCAACTCAGCCTGTGCGTCACAACTCCTGAAGCCCCTGGGGTCTGAGCCTGTACTCTGCAATGGGAAGCCACTGCAGTGAGAAACCCATGCACTGCAATGAAGAGCAGCCCCTGCTCGCCACAGCCAGAGAAAGTCCAAAAGCCTGTGCACAGCAACAAAGATCCAGCATGGCCAAATAAATAAATTTTTGTTTTTTAAGTCCACTTCTGATTCCTTAAAGGACATGTGCTTACCCTTCCCCAAGGTCCCTCAGATTTAACTCAACTAACATCATAGTCAACTCCCCCCATCTCAAGATAGAGCCTGGAAATCTCATATATTTGTGTAGCATTTTGCAATTCCTTGTGCCTTTACCTCTAAAACTTCATTTAATCTTCACAGTAACGTTGGAGATAGGTTGGACAGGTATTAACTCCAGCTTTTCCAAACGCTGCAACCAGGCCTCTGAGAGGTTCAGGGACTCGTCCAGTCACATAGCTGCCAGGTAGCAGGGTAAGTAGGACCACAGATTTTTGGAACTTTGGTCTGGGACTCTTTGGCATTTGCTATACCATGAAGGTCCTGCCTCCTATCTGAAAAGAGTCAACTGATTGTACTGAGAAGTGGAAGAGCAGTGGCCCTTATTGGACTTTTTGCTTCGGGACTTGGGATCCAGAGGTGACCCTGTCAGTTTCAGAGTGGACCTGGGGCAACTGTAAGGGAGCAGTGCCTTTTGGGGATGGGAGTGGGAGAGCAAGGGGTGGGGGTTAGAGAAATAGATTACATCTGTGTTTGTGAGAGTTCAACACAGAAAGAGATTTCCCCTGCTTTGGCACTTGAAAAAGAAGGCAGTTTAAGAGAAGGGCATGTTACAGCATCCTTGCATGGGGTAGACAAAGGCGCCGGGTGGTGCTTGCAGGAATGATTCCCCTGAACCTTCAAGAACTCTCTGCCAGGGAGCTTACCACCCACCACTCACCCCACTGAATTAAAGACCTCGTGCCACAATGGCAGGCCAGGCTCAAAGAGACTACTGCCTCGCAGATGTCATTAGGGCTGTGTCTTGGCACTTCAGAGCTGGAAAAGAGAGGTAAGTCATTGCTAAAAAACCTGATGGTTCTAGTGCAATGCCAGCAGAAAACAACAAAAGGGGCAGGACAGGTATTAGGCAAAATCTAGTTCCCAAATAGACTCATTATTTATCAGATTCTGGGAAAGTCTCATGACCAATAAAAACCAACTGGCAAGCACTCTGAAAATCCACGTTCAGGTCTGGAGCAGATATTCAAAAAGTCTTTATTAGCATAGGAACAACCAGAGTGAACAGTCATAGGCAAAACCCGTTCAGACGCCACGTCTCTCAAGAACTCTCCACGTACTTCATGGTAGAGTTGAGAATTTCCATCCCATGAAGCTCTCTCAGCAGAGCAGCAAACCTGTTATAATCAAAGCACAAACTCCAGGATATAAATGCCAGAGCACAGACATCTGGTGCCCAGAGGCATCCCCCTGGCTCAGGAAGAAGCTGGCTGGGAAGGCGGGACGGGGCAGATGCTATTTCCCTGAAGATCAAAGTGGGGAGCCTCCAGGAGGCCCACGGAACACAGCAACACCCGTTGTGTGAGTGGGGAGCCCCCAGGAGGCCCAGGGAACACGGCAATGCCTGCTGCACTAGTGGCAGATATGGCAGGGACCCGTCGGGGCCTGCTTTCCAGGACTGCCTGGCAGGCTGTCATGGTGAGCCCGTCCTAGTTAATGCACCTTGCTTTCTGTAGAAGAAAGCTTTCATCCATTCCTTCCATTTGAACAATCAGAACTTGGAAGGACTTTAGGTATGATCTAGGCCAGCTCCCACATTTTCCAGAGGAGGGATCGGAGGGTGAGGCTGGGCGAGAAGGAAGCGAGCTGGCCATAGCCCCTCCCTGTCTGCGGAAGGCACCCCTCCGGGGCCAGGGCTCCACGCTCAGGCACATGGGCACCTTCCAGGAGCACAAGGATCAGGACCGAGTGGAGTGGGAGCCCGCGCTGAGACAGACTCGGGCACGCAGAGGCCCCGGGCCTGGCTTGTCGGGTGCTCTGCATCGGGCTGCCCCCCACCCCGCTCGCCTGTTTGCCCCCACTCAAGAACATACCCTACAGGGCACTCTTCCATATGCTTAGGCCCCAAGCAAAAAAAAAAAAAATGAAGTTAGAGGTTTAATTGTTTCTGGAAAAGCAGAGGAGACAGAAAGGCAGGAGAGAGAGGTGGGGATGGCACGAGGAGAGGGAGGAGAGGAGAGAGGAGACTGCGGGAGCTGAGCAGAGAAGATGATGGCTGGGGGTGCCAGGAAAGACCCCTGTCCCATGCTGTGTCCCCTCGCCGGCTTCAGCCTAAGCGCTCCCCAGTGTCCTGGGCAGGGCGGGGCCGGGAGGGAGGGGTGTGGTTCCTCCAGAGAAGGAGCTGGCTCCCCTTGTCCTTGAGTACCTGGGCTCCGCAGTGCACAGCTTCCCCAGGGCGATGCCCGCGTTCAGCTGCACGGCTGTCTGCCGGGCATCGCTGCCTGCCAGCTTCAGGAGGACGGGCACGATGTCCGTGGACAGCAGGGACGAGGCCGCGCGCGGCACCTCCATGCAGTTCCCCAGGCAGAGGGCGGCGTTGCCCGCCAGGGTCTCGTCCTCCGAGTGCAGCAGCCGCATCAGAACCCCGAGCTCTATGGGGCGGAGGAGAACAGGCAGGGAGGCTGGCAGGGGGACGTGGTGGGCACAGAGAGGGGGCGGTGGGAGGCCGGCCGTGTCACCCGCTCGACGAATCCCTACTGAGTGCGCCGAAGCTCCTGGGCTCCTGGCCGGGCCTCTGAGGGGCCTCGGGAGCCCACAGCCCTCAGCCGTCCCAGGAACGCATGCCCGGCCTCAGCCAGGTCTGTCCTCTCTGCCTCGCGTGCTGAGCCTCTGCGCTCCTCCCGACATGCGGGAGACCGGGAGCCGCCGCCCTGGATTTGCGGGCCCGGGACAAGGCTCCACACGGAAGGGTCCTGCCCCTCACTAGGTGGGCCCCCTCAGTTCCCAAGGGGTGGGAAGGTGAGCAGCAGCAGGCCCTGCCCCCCTGACGGCAGCGCTTTGGTGATTAGATCACAGCCGCACTGAACACCCCATCACGCGCAGTCACAGGTGTTTCCCCCGGGGAAGGGAGAGGACCCGCGTTAGGTCGTCTAAGGAGAGTGCTTTGGAAACGATCTTAGTTCGAGCTGTTTCCCAGCTGAGTCTCTAGCATGGGTGCCGTGTCCATGAGCTTCCAAAGGCTAACTAAAGGCATTCAGAGCTGCAGGTGAGGCGATAGGGTCCCGAACACACTGCAGGAGAGCGGGGAGGCATGGGGCAGCCTCCTCGGTCTCTCCTCCCTCCTCGCGCACAGCGCCCTCTGCAGCTTCGAGGCTAGACTAACCTCCAAGTTAATGTGGGCTCTGCTTAATGAAACGATCACTTACTTTTATCCAGTCTTATCACTTCTTCTCGTGCTTCGTGATAACTATTTGTGCAGATGGCGAGTATCTTTACTGCGTAACGTGACGCAGTCTGGCCTCCTGCCTAGATTTCAGAGTGCAATGAGAATAAGAAAACCAATGCTATGGTTGTTCCTGGCCGAAAATGACAGTGAGCAGCTGGGATTACACTCATGGCTTCTTTTTTTTAATTTTTCCCTTAGTATTCTTAGCTTTTATTTATTTATTTATTTATTTTTTCTTAACTTCTGAGAGAGTGCTGCTGACAATACGTATGCTTCCAGGCAAGGGGGCTTGGTCCCTGCTGGGGTTCAGGGTCACTCACATCCTCCCTAGAAGGGCCTGCAGCCCCCTTTAAATGGAGGCCTGTCATGGACACCCGAGTAATTACCTGTGGAAGGCTTTAGGAGTGAGGGGCTGAGAAAAGAATGATGCTGTCAATCGGCAGATCTACCAAGAAGGGAGGCAAAGGCCCTCCCATGTCATTTCACCATTTGAGAATGAAGGCTGACTTGCTAAGGCTGCAGGCTGACAGGTCTGCATAGAGAACATCACGAACCTAGATCATTTTAAGAGGTGATAACTGTCAGATCGTAACCATTAGAATCACCCTATGCAGGGGTCTTTAAATTGCATGTGTGAGGAAACACATGCATAATGCACACACATGTGTACATGGAATCAGCAGGCTCTGGTGGGTATGCAAGAGTGATACCAAGTAAATGATGACCATCACCCATGTGGCAGCCTAAACTCAGACCCATTCTGCCCCCTCGATGTCACCCCTGCCCCAGCAGAAGCCCCCTCACAGAGCACCCTTCTTGGTGCCACTCAGCCTAGGCGTTTATGAATAAGTCTCCTGTGGGGTCATCAAGCTAACTCAGGTGAGTGAACCTCACTGGGCCTGTATACTGCAGCTGGGATCCAGGATGCAACCTAGTAACTGATCTCCTGGATCAGGAGAATCCAGCAACTCTTGTGCTCTGTGTGTGTGCTCAGTCCCTCAGTAGTGCCTGACTCTTTTGATCCCATGGACTGCAGCCTGGCAGGCTCCTCTGTCCATGGGATTTTCCACTGCACTCATATTGCAGGGAAAATCTGAACATCCTTTTAAAAATCACGTGGTTACTCTGAAGCCTGCATATTTCATAAATGGAGTTACCCCCCAACCTTTCCAGGAAACTGGGAAGAGCATTGTGAGCAGGAAAACATGAACAGAACCAGGGCCTGAGAAACCTTGTTGAAGCCACTCAGACCATCTTTTTTGAAGACAGAGGCCATGCATTTTTTAAAGTTAGGCTTTAGTGGTAAGCATTTTTATGGATTTGCCTAATGAATGTTATTTGTCCAACAATCTTCCATTGCTGGTCAGAGTAGTCTAGGTGAATAGGCAGAAGGGAAACCTCATTCAAGAAGGCTAGAAACTAGCAGAGGGGAAATAGCAGGACCTTTGCTGAACAAAGCCCTCCTTTATTCTGTTCCCCAGATAAAAGATGACACTCCTGGAAATTCAGGGGGTTGTAACTAATGAAGTTATTTTACCTTCAGGAATTTAATCATCTTCTTCACCACTCCTGCTCTGAGGGCCTCCTCAACAATTTTCAGAGAGGAAGAAAGGGTGCGGCTGAGAACGCCAGCAGCTCTCTGAGTGAAGCAGAAAGGAAAGGGTGACTAAACGTTCCCACGGGGAGAGGGGCAAGAAAAGGGTAGGGCATTAAGGGGTGCAAACTACTACGTACAAAATAAACAAGCTACAAGGCTACGCTGTACACTGCAGGGAATACAGCCAATATTTTATCATAACTATAAATGGAACACCACCTTTAAAAATTGTGAATCACTATGCCATACACCTGAAACTTACATAAAATTGTATACCAACTAGCCAACGGGAATTTGCTGTGTGGCTCAGGAGACTCAAACAGGGGCTCTGTATCAACCAAGAGGGGTGGGATGGGGAGGAAGATGGGAGGGAGATTCAAGAGGGAGGGGGTGTATGTGCACCTATGACTGACTCACATTGAGGTTTGACAGAAAACAACAAAATTCTGTAACGCAATTATCCTTCAATAAAAAAATAAAAAGAAAAAAATTTTATACCAGCTATACCTCAATAAAAAATTTTTTTTTCTTAAAATGCTGATGACGTTTTAAAGTGAACAAGTAGTTTGGTGAGGCAAGAATCATTAGTGCTAGATGCAAAATATGTACCTTGATTTTAAAAATGTAATGGCTGAGTAACTGATAGCAAGTCCTGATGTTTACAGTAAAGCTACTGGGTAGCCAATTCAAACTGAAGGCTGCCAACACGGCCCTCGGGCACAGAGAGGCTCAGCTCATTCCAGCTTCGCAAAGGACCAGCATTCACCCCTCAGCAAGAAAGTCCTGCCCTGTATTCCTGTGGGGCTCTGATGCCAGCAGGACCCTTATTACACAGCAGACTTCCTGGATTGATCCTCTGGGACTTTTATCTTTCCTGAATCTTCTTATTCTAATTTCTAGGTGACTTTATTGATTTTTATTTTCCAGTTCTGAATTTTTTTAATAGCAAGCTGTTACTGTTTTATGGCCCTAAAGATTCACCATTTTGAATCTTTCTGAAGATACAAATGATAGCTATTAGTTTTTTCCTCTCTTTCCAACATCATCTCTATTTTTTTTCTGGACTCAAATTTTCTGCTTACTCTGCTTTGCCTGTTTATTGGTATGGCTTCCCTGAAATGCCTCGTGACTCTCAGCTTGCAAGTCACATCTATGAGAAAAGCAGTTATGTCTGGGTATGCGGTGTTTATGGGGCGTCTGTCCACTCACAGGTGGAGAGGTGGCACTCTCAAATACTAGAAAGTAAACATTCTTTCTCTGGTCTTTCAATTCCTTAAGGGAAAAAAAGCTCATGTTTTACGCTCGAGGAAGAGCTGCCTGGCTACCAAATGCAGCCCCCTCATCTCCTACTTCTGTCTTCTGCTGTACGTAGTGGGCAGTTTGAATTCTGTCTTCTCCATAGAACCACAAGAATCACAGGTCGCCTGCCAACTGTGCTCCCTTCATCTGCCCTCTACACCAAGGTGCTTCCCGTGCCGCCTCATTATTATCAGTCCTGCAGCTGTTCTCCATCATCCAGAATTGGCTATAGTAACTTACCCCTCAGTGAGATAACTTACCCACGAGGTCGACCAGCCAGAAGACCCCAAGTCCCCAAGAATAGCGATGCTTACCACTTTGGGGCTCATGCAACTTTTTTGAGGATCTGATGAAAACCGTGGTGCACCCCTCAAGCCCCATGAAAATGCACATACACGCAGAATTTTCTATACAGTTGCTGGGGGTCTCAGGGAACCTGAAGAACCCACCACCTCTTCCTGGAGCCCAGGTTAAACACTTTGCCCTGTAAGTCTGGATTGACTGCAGGGAAGTTGTCAGCTTGCTGGTCACACACAGGATTCGCTGGACCTACTCAGAACCTCTTCACAACCCTTGAACCAGTCCCCAGGCTGTGACCCTTGAAGGGCTGGTTTCCCAGATCTGCCCTGGATGTGACCTCAATTGTTTCTCCAGGTTTAGAGGCTTAATAGGCTGACCTAATAGGCAGAAAAGTTGGGGTGATTCCTAATGTAAGTGAAGAACACATCCCAGGATGATGGCAAATAGCCTCTTGAATCATATCAACACTCTCCTCCTGATATACTGTGCTAACCACAGGCCTTAGTTTTCTTATCTAAATGTCAGAAACAGAAGCAAGAAAGCCATTCCAGAATTTATCCCCAAGGCGGCTAAAACCATTGTGTACAAACTCCTCCAGAATCACTGGCTTTAAAATATGTGCCCAGCTTTTTTTGACTATGGAGAAAAGATTCTAAATAAAATCATTTGGCCTGTCCAAGTCACACAAGGATGGTTTGATATGGGACAAATCAGATAGATGAGCTGGTGTCAGCTGTGAAGCTCCACACCTTCAAGGAAAAGGATTCTGAACTAGAGTTCCTAGATCCCAGGGCATCCACAGATGGGCACTGTGGGGGGCGGGGTCACCAAACCCCCTGGACCTGTAGGCAAACTCAGTATTTCTGTGCTTACAGGCATCGTTTCGAGGAGTATGTCTGACCCATGCCTCAGAGAGTCAGAAGAAGCTCAAAGGCATGGTGACCACAGAACAAAACAAAACGAGAACAAAGGAAGCGGTTTCTGGATTTCCCTGGGGGAAGCTTACAGTGAGGATTCCTCCATCCTGGCTATTCAGCAGAGACAGGCACTTCTGGCTCACCTCCATGGCCCAAACCTACAACAACAGGCAGCGCAAGAAGGAGCTTGCCTCTCCCGGTCACGTCATCTGCAGATTTCTTCTGGGCGCTCACACAGAACCGACCACTCCCCACTCCCTTCTTCTCGCCACGGCCAGGTAGGTCCCCATCTCCTTCACAACATCTGCGACTGCTCTCATTTCTTTCCCACGTCCATCTCCCCCAACTACGAGGGCCACATCACATTTGACTGTGTAAACGTGGAACTTAGCACCGTGCGCAGCGCCCTGAACACTCAGCTGGTTTGCAGAATGAATAACTGACAGAGTGACTCATCCATCCCTGAGCAGAGCAGGGGTGGAACCTCCACCCAGCGTTCCCCATTCCCAACGCCAGGGTTTGAGTCCTCTGCTTCCTGCCTCTACAGGGCAACGAGAGCAGTTCTAAGCAACAGAATGTGTTACGGTAGGGAGAAAAGAATCCGGTACCTCGGAGACAAGGGGGGACTGAAGACACAGGTTCATCACGAGCCCCAGGAGGGCATACATGACGTCCCTGAACAGGTCCGCATTCTCCTCACACTTGGCCTTGGGAAACAAAACAAGGTGATCACTGATCTTCCTGCAGCTTGTCATGGTCACCTGTTCCCCTTGGCGATGGTCCCAGATCTCTCACACTCCCTAAATGGCCAGTGTCATGAACTGAAGTGAGGCAGGAAAATCAGAGACCCATTTATAGCACAGAGTGTCTGGCGCCTCTGCTGTGGGGCTCTGGCCCTGCGTTCAAATTGCAGAGGGAGCTGCTGAAATGGGTGCTCAAGCCAGCTCCACAGAGAACCCTCCAGACGTCTCTAGGGTGGAGGAGACTTGATCTGGAGAATTCTTTCAGGCCAGCTGTCCATCAAATCTAGGGTCATAGAAGGGGTAAGCCACTGGCCCCTGAACCCTCAAACAGAATTTTTAGAAAAGTCAGATAGTTAATGAGAAGCCCATGGCCCCAAAGCAGGTAGAAAACCAGCTCTGAACAGAAAAGCTGAAATACCATGAGACCCAAGCAGGCAGCCCCAAAGTCTTCGGAGGCAGACATCTGTCTTTGGGCAGCAGCCTCAGCACTGAAGTTCCCCATGATGGCAAGACACTGGCAGAGAGCTGATATATTGGTGACCTTGGGATCTCTCTTCTAAAAGAGAAGGAAGAGAAAGCGAATCTGCAGAGAGCAGAGGAATAATGCCGGAATCATCTCCAGGGGTGTCCTTCACGTTCCAAAACGTCTGGGAACCAGACAGCCTGATGTCACATGGGGATGTCAGTGGGGTCACGCTGGCAGAAAGGAAGGAGGCACACCGCGGGGCAGACCCCAAAGTGCCCCGGCCTGGTCCCAGTCACTCCGCCAACCAACTGGGGCACTGGGGCAAGTCCTGTCCCTTCCCAGAGCTTCCATTTCCACATCTGTGAAATACCAGGATGCTGTTGCACCCTCAAAGAACCCCTGAGAATTCTATGGGTCACTGGGGACAGGTCTCATCGCAGCATGCTCTTTTGGAGGACTCCCCCGCTACCCCCCAACACTTGCACCTTTCTCCCTCATCGACTCGAACACCACACCTGCTCTCCTGATCAGGATGACAATTCAGGGGACAAGGCTGCATGAGGTACTTATGACTCTGGCCACCTGATGTGAAGAGCCAACTCACTGGAAAAGACTGATGCTGGGAAAGCTTGAGGGCAGGAGGAGAAGGGGATAGCAGAGGACGAGATGGTTGGATGGCATCACTGACTCAATGGACACTAGTTTGAGCAAGCTCTGGGAGTTGGTAATGGACAGGGAAGCCTGGCGTGCTACAGTCCATGGGGTCACAAAGAGTTGGACATGGCTGTGTGGCTGAACAACAACAGTTCAACAACTTATGACAGGACTTTGGTCAGAAGGGGACTGGTGGAGACCGACAAACTCTCCGCCATCACCGCCTACAGCCTTCCTCCCCTGCAACCAGCCCTGCCCATGAACCTTCTCCACCTGCCCCCACAGCAACTGTTCCAAGTGTAAATTCCAGCTGTGAATAAATGATCCGTCAACCCGAGAGGCAACGGGAGTTCTAGGAGGCAAACCCCTGTTGAAACAGCCCTGCGCAGACTCCCAAGAGGGTCTGTCACAGGTGACAAGACAAGGGTTTGCTCACCAGCACGCCTGTCAGCACCGGAAGGACGTCTGGAAGGCTGGTCTGGAACCAGACTTGAAATCTGTCAAGAGAACATCAGCCATGACTTATTTCTACACTGTGCAAAGTAAAACATCAGTGCAGTGTTTTGGGTAACAGAACCGACAGTCCAGCAGTGGGCCCCTGTGATTTGCTCCTGTGTGAAGGAGTCAGTGGGAAGCAGAAAAGGTCATCACTGGGTAGGTCATGTGGCTTTACTTCTAAGCCTGGAGACTGACCTTTGATGTGAAACAACACATCTCAGAGGGTGGCTCTCTTCTGCAGAAGCTGCTGGAATCCTGAGGTTTCTGCAAGTTGACTTCGCACCACCCCTGCCCTCCCTGGCTCCGAGTTACACAGTGTAAGCACATTTACATGTCACAGCTGTCAGGAGGGCCCCATGGCACATATGCCTCCACCTGATATTCAGGCTAGTACTGCCCCCAGCCCCTGCCGACGGTCAGTAGCTGGCTACCAGCACGAGGATCTCTCACGCTATATGACCATTTCTATGTAAGATGCCATAATGTTGGTGAGGAAATTAAAAACAAAACAAGACGCATTAACAAAAATGAAAAGTTATGAAAATCTTTACTGTCTTCTCCAGCATCAGCTAAAGAAAAAAACAAACAAAGGCAGGAGGCTGGCTGCCCATTATGGCCACTGGCAGCCCAGGAGGGCTCCCCTGTGTTTCTGTGTTTCTCCTCCCTCCCCATCCCTTTCTCTTTTTCCTCCCTCCTTCTCTTTCCTATTTATTCAACACACATCTGCCAGGCAGTTCCCATTAGGCACTGATTGGGGAAGAAGCTTCACCAGCACACAACAGTGGTAGGTTTGCTTACTGTGAGAGGTGTGGTTCTAAGTAGATGATGGCTTCCAATCCTGTTGAGGGCCGGGTCCCCCCGCATGCAGAGGGATTGGGACAGAAGTGGTGACCACAGCCCTTGGGGACATCAGCTCTCCTACGCAGGGAATCCTGTGATGCTCAGTCGGCCTAACCTCCCATGTGCCGCACATTTTAGAAGATCAGACAGTGCAGCAGAGGCTGAAGAAGAGATGTCAATTTCTGGCAAGAAAAATTACCTTTCTTGCAGAGCCAAGTCTGTGAGCAGTCCCATGGCTGAGTTGGCCTTTTTATCTAAGAAGTCAAGGAACGACACCAGAGCTTCCAACAACCTGCAAACATACGTAACACCTTCAGGGTGGGCTGACCTCCAGCTCACAGCATCCCCAGCGAGGGGGCCTGGCATGGAGACCAGGGAGGAGTCAGCACCTGAGCGAAGTGAGCTGAGAGGGCTGCTCATGCCCCCAGGAAGCCCAGCCCTTGCCCACCCCAATGAGGCAGGTACCGTCCCGTGAGAACAGTTCTACCACTTAATGTGCGGTTCCAGGGGGGTGAAGAGTTTTAACCTGCGTTCATTGATCATCAGACGCTGACTTGGAAGGCCTCTGGTGCCTCTACCATGTGACTCCGGCTCGGCCAAGCTGAATCACACAGATGACATCCAAATGGCATGCTTACTAACGTGCTGATGACTCAGTGGGAGGTCCCTTAATGAAGCGGGGGATGGATTAAAGATTTAACAAGATTTTGACAGGTTGCTAAATACATGAGATGAAATTTCAGAGAGTTAAACTCAAAAGTCCTTCCCTGAGAGCTGGGAAATCTGTTTAAGTAACAGAATGGGGAGACCTGGTTGATAACTGACTCACATGAAAAAGACTTAAGATTTTTAGCCAACTGCAAACCCAGGATATGAGCAAACAGTCTGGTGCGCCTGCCACAAAGCATAATGGAGTATCAGGCTGCCTTAAGGGCTGACCAGCACCAGGATGATGGAGTGGAAGTCACGTGTCCATCCAGCAGACCCATACTGGGCACCCACAGCCTGCCGAGTGCTGCACTTGATTCTGGGACACCGGGCTGAGTGTCTGGCCTCCTACGGTGACATGTGTCAGGTGACAGGATAGAAACAGGCACGTGCCAAGTGGGCACGGAGCCCAGCTGGCAAGAGCTGCGGGAGGATGGAGATGAGGAGGACACTCCCGCGTCACTTGAAAGTGGAGCATTGGCTGCTCGTCCCTTTGTCCAGGCAGTCAACAGCACTCGCTGGCACTGACTGTGTGCCAAGTAGGAAAAATATAAGGTCCCAGCTCCAAGGAGCTTGCAGGCCCGCGTCAGGCATGTGGGGACAGGAGCTGAGCATCCGAGGCAGAGGGCACAGCAGTCAGAGAGATGACGAGGCGTTAAACGGCAGAGGCACACTTGGGGACTGCTAGTGGTTCCTCACAGCTAGTGCGTAGGGTGTGCTGCTAGTGGACAGGGGGCAGCCATCCTGGGTCACAATGGACTGTCTACGGCCTTCTGGAGTGTCTGCACTCTCCCTGGGCAGCCTGAATCCCAAGTGTAGGCGGTGGATGACCTGCCTGGTGGGGGTGTATGGACAGGGGTGGGCTGCAGGCTTTTGAGGCCCTCTCGGTCTCTGAGAGGAGGTCCCAGGAAGTTGCATTTTATAGTTTTATTTATTTATGTTTGGGGGCTGTGCTGGGTTGTCATGGCTGTGTGGGCTTTTCTCTAGTTGTGGTGCAAGGGCTTCTCATTGCAGCGGCTTCTCTCGTTGCGGAGCATGGGCTCTGGGGTGTGTGGGTTCAGTAGCTGCAGCTCCCGGGCTCTGGAGCACAGACTCAATAGTCGTGGTACGCGCTTAGTTGCTCTGCATCTGTGGGATCTTCCTGGACCAGGGATCAAACCCATGTCTCCTGCATTGGCAGGTGGATTCTTTACCACTGAACTACCAGGGAAGCCCCGAAGCTGCATTTAAATGAAGTCCCCAGGTGATTCCTAGGCACTCTATTTCTCAGAAGTTCAAGAACTAGTCTAGTAGGCAGTAGAAAGTCCTTTCAGCATTTTAAGTAGGAAAATAACAGGACAGATGTGCATTCAGGACAAATCCCTTTGGTGGTGCAGCAGAGGTGGATTAGAGCAGGTGGCACAGGAGGCAGGGAATCCAGTGGGGGAGAGCTGGGACTGCTCAGACAACCAAGGTCAAGGCATGAGCTGGGACGGGGCAGAGGAAGGCGTACAGTCGACAAGAACAAGGCCTCATGATGACCTAGAGGGCGTGCCTGAGACGCTGCAGGAGGGAGAGAGGAAATGCGTCCAGGAGATGCTGAGGAGGCAGGACTGACAAGTACCATCTCCTGAGGGGTGTGGGCAGGGAGCCATCCAAGGAGCTCCCAGGATTCTGGCCTAGGCAGCAAGGCAGATGGAAATGCCACATACGAAGACAGGAAGTTCAGCTAAGAGGTGTGGGTTTGAAGAACTACTTTTGAATCACTAAGTTTGTGATAACATTACTAAGTTTATGGTAAAATTACTAAGCTTATGATAAAATTACTAGGTTTATGATAAAATTACTAAGTTTATGATACTTGGGATGTTGTGATGGAGGTGCCCAGTGACAGAAGGATGCTTCCTTCTAACATCTGAGAGAGAGACTTAGACATGATAACTGGGGCCATGGACAAGAAGAGGACCAGAAGAGGATGTTGGGGTCCCTGACCTGGAAAGATGACAGCATAAAGGGGCTTTAGAAGGAATAGCAAGGGAGCCAGGGATAGCAGAGGGTAGGAGGAGGGCCAGAAAGAATGATATCATCACAAGCAGATGCCATGAGGCTACAATGGGAGATGAAGACAGAAAAGAACCCATCAGACTGGGTTCTTATATTCAGGAGCACGGCTTCCAGTCACCCACATGTATGGTACTGGGTTTATTTAGCAGCTTGTTCTGGGAGGGGGCTGGAAGACAAACCACCTGAGGAATGGTTGAGGAAACAAGGATGCTTGGGCTGGAAAATGTCAGTGTCTTCGGACACATCCAGCAGTGGAGAGAGGGAGAGTGGATACAATCCGTAGGCCTTTGACAGACAGAACCGAGGCCTCAGTACAAAAGGCAGACTTGCCCTGGGGTGGTGGGGGCAAGCAGCTTGTGTTTGGTGTAAGGAATCATCTTATATCAATCAGAACTGTTCCAGAACTGGGCACGCTCCTCTCCTTAGCTGGGGAGAGACCCCCCACCTATGAGCTGCGTGGCACCCATCCCAGTCAAATGGAGAAGAAGAGAATGCAAATGCTGGAATCTTTCCTGCAGCGCCTCACACAGGCCTTTTGGGAAACCCCAGAGGGGACACTGTGCTGGGTGGGGCTGGACTGGATTGCTGCTGTGGTCCCTCCACACTGGGGGTTCTGCAAAAGCCCAACCTCCTCCGGAGACCGGTCAGTGTTCCTGCTGTCAGAAATCATTTATTTCCCTCAGTTCAGATTCTTCCCTCACCAAAGCAAACCTGTTTTCTTTAGTCTTGCGATGAATACTAATTAACCTGAGTGGCACAGAAGAAGAGCTGGGGTCTAAGATTCTCTGGGTTTTGTACTTGGAGACATAAATGAGACAAATGCACACCCTGACTGGATACAGATGGCAGGTCTGTCCTTTTTTAGTGGCAGATGTTCTGCTCTGCTGACCTGCCGCTGATGGAAAAGGAGAGGTACCACAGGTCAGAAAATGGTCTAAATGACCAATAAGTGTGCTTTCCCCTTAGTTTAGGACCCTGAGCAATAGACCCAGAAGAAAGAAAGTGATGCAAAAGTCATTACTGAGTCCAAACCACATGTCAGGCATGATACTAGTTGCTTTCTTTGATGTGGCAGATGCCGTTTGCTGGTGAACCAGACATCCCGTTATCCCCCTTCTGTCCTGCCTGCGTCTGCCTCAGAAGCTGGAACCATCTCCCCTCCAGGGTGGCATGTGACACAATTCTGACCAAAGAGACACAAAAGCAGTAGCTCCTCTTGATAAAAGGGACAGACCCATTTGGTGCTAACCTGTCTTAAAGAGGGATGTGATGCTTGGAATTGCAGCAGCCTTATGTGACCATGAGGGAAAGGTCAAGAGAGGGACAGAGACCTTGACCCTGCCGTCATTAAGCCACCAAACCAGCTATTACTATCTTTAGTCTTTTGGTTTATAGAAAAACAAGACGAGTTCTCTTGGTAAGTCAAGAGACTAACCTGTCAAATGCTGCAGAAAAAAGTTTACCTGGCATATAGGCATCATCTCTCTGAAGTTTCACCATAAATCTCTGATACAGATGAGATACCAGGCGCATCAGGGCTAAGCAGTTTCCTGGTCACACAAGCAGAAAGAGATATGTGGAGGGCTGAGGCTCTTGACTGCTTCAATCTAAAGCCCAGCACTTTTCACAAAGCGACACTGGCCTTCACCCTACTGCTGTCCACGCACATTTGTCCCTTCACTTTCTCATACAGGGAGGAAGGCGAGGGTCATGGGACCTGGCCTGTTTCAAACTATCTCGTTTCAGAGAACATGTTCCACCTCTTTCCAGTTTACCTGGAGACAGATATTAACAAGAAGAGTGGGCACAAGGGTGATAGAGGTTTCTTCATCTAAAGCAAGGAGGCAGTACTGCACAAGATGATGACAAATGCCAAGACACTGGAAAAATTCAAATGAACCTCAAGCAATTAAAAAACAAGCTTAGGTGGGGGGTGGGGAAAGCTTATGATAATTGTGGTTGTATTTATTCAAAGAGACCAAAGCCAAATGAAAAAACATATGATGAAGGTACGGAGGAAATGACTGCAGAGTCATTTGAAATGTGAAATGCGCTTTTGATGACTTAACTCTGCTAATGACCCATCTACCCGTGTGCGCCGAGCTTCAGGGGCTGCCAAGGCTTGTCCTGTGAGCCACAGGGCTGTGCTGGGCTGAGAAGGGGAGAGCCAGAACCTAGGCTCATCCCCACACCATCCTCAGCACCCATGGGCCTCCTCACCAATATGGGACGGGCACCAGAGTTCTCGGCATGGTCCAAGCAGGTCTGACACAGCTTCAGACTTGGATGCCTTTCTAACAGGGAACAGACTAGGAGCAAGCTCCATGGCCTGGGAGACAGCTGGCTGAGATGACCCAAGTCACTCTCCTACCCCATCTGTGAAATGGGGGAAGGACACTTATCTTGTCTCCCTCCCAATGAGATAACAGTGAGCAGAATCGGAAGCCAAATTCTGTTTTTAGATTACATAGATTACATTTATAAAGCAAAGGTATAACCATGGCTGGGCTTCCCAGACGGTGCAGTGGTAAAGAACCACCTGCCTATGCAGGAGACGCAAGGGACTTGGGTTCAATCCCTGGGTCGGGAGTCCTCTGGAGGAGGAAGTGGCACCCCACTCCAGGATTCTTGCCTGCAGAATCCCATGGACAGAGGAGCATGGCGGGTTACAGTCTGTGAGTTCGCAAAAGCTGGATATGACTAAGCTCACACACAGACATGATCACAGCTACTATTTCTTTTAGATTGAACCACATGAAATTGCCGACATGCAAACTTTTCTTGACATAAAAAGTGGCAATTTCACATATGCAAACTAATAATCTTTAGATGGGAAAGCACCAGGCAGAATCACTATGGCCCATTAAAAAAAAAAAGTTTACTTAGGAAAGAGGCACATTCCATTCCTATCACCTTAAGCCTTGGAAAGATCTACATGCAACAGTATTTGAGATGTGTTGTATTTATTTATACCCTACTCACTCCAAAAAGCATTTAAGGATAAGTAAAATCAGGTAGCATTACCTGAAACAGGAGTAAACGGAGAAAAGTAAGAATAGGAGCAGGGTGGAGCCAAGACTGAGGATAAAAGAGCAGAGGCAAATGGCCCGTTTTACAGGTAGGTTTTGCAAGTGCAGCTATATTTACATGGTCTGCAGTATCTGTTCCCTGGTGGCCCAGTGGTTAAGACTCACACAGGGGACCCGGGTTCGATCCCCGGCCAGGGAACTTGATCTGACATGAGGCAGCTAAGAGTTTGCATGCCTCAACCAAAGATCCTGCCTGCCACAACTATGACCTGGTGTAACCAGATAAAGAAACCTGTGAAAAGAAAGAAACAAGCTCAGAAGTGACACTGTCGACGGTAGTAAGTTCAGACAGGAGTTTGTCCTGGAGGTCCTTAAGAGGGAGAGTTCCTCTCAAAGGCTCCTTCTGGGTTTTTTTTTTAATATCCTTAATCTGGTTGGCTGGCTCCTCTCACATCAGAGATGTGGGAAAGGGGACAGGTCTTAACGTGGCAGGTGAAACCTGAGATGCTGCAGGGAAGCTCCCGCCTGCATGCACGCAAAGCCTTACCGGATCAGGTCAAGGTGGCCGATGATCAGGTTCCGTCCATTCTCCGTTTGGGTGAGCTGCAGCAGTAGCGCCAGGCTCTGCTGTCGGATGGCTGGGACCCTGGAGGTCAGGAGGGAGGGCAGGAGCCCGCCCGTGTCCGGGCGCAGCACAAGCAGGCGCTGGTTCTCCTCTGCAAAACACAGGGCACGTCGGCCTCATGCAGACCATGGCGGTCACATGGGCTCTGTCTTCCCTCCTCTAAACAAGAAAGCCAATTCTTCTCCAGGAGGCAGGATAATGAAGGTAAGAGCATGGATTCTAGAAGCAGACTGTTGGGTCTAAATGACCAGGAAATGCCCTTAGATGAGTTATCAGCTTCCTCATTAGTGGAACAAGGAAGAGGACCAACGTAAGAGTTGTCATGATGATGAAATGAGTTAGTACGTGATGGTGTGGAGAGCAGGGACTGGCACATACATATATGTTAGCTAGTATCATTGTTCTTGCCAAAGGCTCCATGGTGGATGGTACCCGGCAATGTGAAGGGAAAGAAATCAGCTGAATGGTGAAAGAGCTTTAGACCATCGATTTTCATCTAATGGCCAAAGCAACCATCTGAGTTCTTTCTAGAAAACTAGAATGACCACATGAGAATATTAATGAATGAAGCACGCTACCCTTCCTGGTCTGTGAACTACTTCCAGGGTGGTAGCATTGGATATGCCCTCTCCCCATTTTACCCAGTTCATTTTCTAACCCAGTGCATGAATTTATCTAAGAGCAGGCAGAGGGATACAGGCTGGAATACGAGGCTAAGCTCCGAAACAGAGCACAGTTTGTTTAGATTATAGGAAAAAAAAAGGAAAGTAGCTCACTGTAAACAACTCAAATAATACAAAATGTGCATAAAAGTTTCTTCTCTGTAACCTCCTCCAGGTAAGCCCTTTCCCTAAGGGGGGCTAGTATTCATATGAGTAATGTTAAAGCATAATACACCCTTTCCCTGTAACTGGCTTTTCTCTCCAGTCAGCACTATATCACAGACATATTTCCACACCTTTCCTTTTAAGCATTCCTTTGTCCTATTTAAAAATGTCTCTGTATTTATTGAATTGGATACACCAAGATTCCATTCACCTGAGACAGAGCATTTATGTCCTAAGTTGTGTCTGATGGTATATTTCCAGATGTTAAAAAAAGATGTGACCCCAAGGTTCACAGAAACCAAAGTAGGGTGCAGAATGAGGAAGCAGGGCTATACAGAGAGATACAGGCCCCATTAGGACTGAGGAAACACCTGGTCACCAAGTCCATCTTCTTAACCTCAGGCTAGGGGATCTATGCAAACACCACCCGGAGCCCATGCAGTGTCCTACGAGTAGCAAGGCACCTTGATAAGGATGTTAATCTGAGCATAATTCCCTTCAGGGAAGAGGCCTCCTGATTCTCTGGAACCTAAGATTTCTAGAATTTAACGTGATTCCTCCACTCTACTAAATGAATTAAAAAAAATTATATTCTCTCATATTCAACACTTAACCATTTACAGGCTGCATTCATAAGCTCCCTCGCTGACTTCCCATGAGAACCCACGCATGGGAGACACAGCTATCACTATTCCCATTTTCACTGTTTTGTGTTCAACGTCAAACATTTTCCCCTATCTGAAAAAACACTTTTTTTTTTTAAAATGAGAGAAACACCTAAAATTTTTATTCACATTGAGGTCCCTGAAGTGGTGACTGTATAAAAATTGAGCAAACCCCGAAGATGCTAATATGTAAAAAGGGACGAGTCAGGGTAAATAAAATCTCCAAAGCGTGTCACTGTCTCAATATTAAGCACTCAGTATTAATCAGTGTCACAAGAGGCCATCAAGGATGGCTGTAAATCTCATGATGCTGAAAAGAGTACTATGGTCAGCAAACAGGAGCACTATTTTTCAGCACAGAAAAGGAAAAACTCTACCCGCCCCACTGCCAATGCAAGAAGTGAAGCTATTTGTCTGCAAAGAGCAGGGCAAGTACCCAGGTGATGAGACGTGATGCCGACTGTGACCTTGCCCGCCGTGGAGGCAGCTATGAGGGTGCAGTGCAAGTCTGCATGTTTTTCCAGGGGACAGTCTAGACCTCCACTCTCCAGGGCCTGTCCCAGGGGAAGAGCCACGCCTGCCCCTGCCCCTCCTGCTCTGTAACTCCCCCATTACCAGCGCATCGGTGATGACTGATGGTGGCTCCCTGGCTTACCGTTCTCACTGCACACGGCCTGCCAGAGTCGGAGAACAGATAAGCACACCGTCTCTTCCACAGCATCTTTTCCTGCTGTAGAAAAGCACCTACAGCGGGCAAGGGAGAGACATATTAAAATTGCAGTCTTGCTCTTCCTTTCGGTTGGTTTCACTTCACCTCCAGACTCCTCAAATGTGGGTTTCAGCAGGTCACCGGGACCGAGGGACGGCTAAGCCCTGAACTGAGGCCCAGGACAAGGATGCAGCTGAGGAAGCTGGGGCTGCCTGGAGGGAGGACAGTGAGCCAGGGGCCAGGGCGATGGACGCACCAGACCAGCAAACTGTTCCCGGGCCTCCTCACGCCTGCAAATGTGTGCCAGTGACTCCAACCCAGGTCTTGTCCTAATCCCCAGGAATTGCATCAGAACAACTGAAGTACAAAATAAAATTAAAATACATTTAGCAGACTACCTCCTGCCATATGAGTCTTTCTTCAGATGAAATTATACATGGGATCAGCCAGGACCCAGCTGATCTCATTTCCTGAAATGATCAGCAAATTCCAAAAGACGAAAGGAATGAAGAGCCATCTTGCAAAAACAGGCGGGAAAACTCCCAGAAAGAATGGTCATTTCTCTGACTTTGAAGGGCTTGGAGGAACCCTGGCAAGTTTTGCTAACTTCACTCTCTCTGCAATTGTTAACTGTGGTCTAACTCAAGCTGCTCCCAGCTCAAGGGTCTCACATGGCACCCGGTATCGACTGAAAGTAGTACCATCTACAATCATGCTGCCTGTGTGCCGAGTGTCTGATTGCATAAGACATGGTCGTCTTTCCTTCCTTTGAGGCCAGGCTGTCTTTGCAGGCATCCCTACCTTCTTATGACCTCATTCTCACTGATGATACTGAATCCATTGTTTGTTCTGAATAAAGTTCGTTCTGTGCCTGAAACAAATTCGAAGAAAACCACATCATCAGAATCCTGAATTGTCTGCCTGAACCGTCTAGCTGTCACAGAGCCAGATGATAACAGAAAACCAATATGGAATGTCTAGGTCACCAAATTCACAGTTTGGGCAGAAATTAATGCCTCCCATTCTGAAACCTACACCTATCATCAGCCACTTGGTATCACAGTAAGAGGGACATCCTGTTCACAGGAAAGCTGGGTCCAGGTGGCCCTGTGAGTGATCTGACTCCTCATTTTGTAAGCTTTAGAGAGTCGCCAGGAGCTGCTTAACCTCCTGGAAGAACTGGCGTATCCATCGCTTCTTAAATGTTTATTTCAAAGCTGTTTCCAGGCTCTAGAGAGGAACTGATAATCTTCAAGAAAATACTGCAGGGGTGTTTGAGCACCCTCCACTGTACACTAAAGAGAAGTTAGACTCCATCCATTTGTACAAACAAACAACATTCTGGCACTGAGGGACAAGGAAAGTTTCAGTCCTGGGATCAGTGATTACAGGAACTGGTAAGAGAGAGCAGCATGGGTCTCATTAGTGGGAGGATAGCTGATGTTTGCTCTGAAACTCTTTTCACATCCTAGGAAACTATTAAGTGTGACTGGGATGAACTTCATGGTTTATCTTACAAAATTCTGTCTTCCATTCCTCTATAGTTGGGGGAGGTATGTGGGGATAACACAGGGTGCTTGGGGAATATATATGGGGTATGTGGGGCTTCCCTGGTAGCTCAGCTGGTGAAGAATCTGCCTGCAATGCAGGAGACCCTGGTTTGATTCCTGAATTGGGAAGATCCCCTGGAGAAGGAATAGACTACCCACTCCGTTATTTGGGGGGCTTCCCTGGTGGTTCAGACAGTAAAGAATCTGTCTGCAATGCAGGAGACCCCAGTTCGATTCCTGGGTCAGGAAGAGCCACTGTAGAAGGCATAGGCTACCCACTCCAGTATTTGGGGGCTTCCCTGGTGGTTCAGATGGTAAAGAATCCCCCTGTAATGTAGGAGATCTGGGTTTGATCCCTGAGTTGGGAAGATCCCCTGGAGAAAGGAATGGCTACCCACTCTAACATTCTAGCCTGGAGAATTTCATGGACAGAGGAGCCTGGCTGGCTACAGTCCATGGGGTCGCAGAGTCAGACATGACTGAGTAACTTTTGCATGGGGTAAGTGTGGGGTATGCAAATGGTGTGGGGGTATGTGCAGCCCATGGGGAACAGATGAGAGGTGGATGTGTGTGGTGTGTGGATATGTGATATAAGCATATATGGGGTCTGTATCCCACGTGCATGGTGTGTGTGTGTACATGATGTGAGCACATGCTGTGTGTGTGCATGTTAAGTGTATATGCAGTGGGTGTATGCTGTGTTTTTTGTTGCATTGTGTGTCTGGTATTTATTGCAGGTGTGTGCAGTGTCAGCAGAGGAGAGGATGGAGCTAGCTGGGTGGAGGATATTTCTTAAGCAACCCCTTTAGAACCTACACTATAATAGATCTTCAATCAATATCTGTGGAAGGAATGGAGGAAGGGATTCTTTGCCTCATATGATCAGACCTCTAAACTCTGTCTCTTCATACTAGACAACATTCATGAGATCACACACACTGCTGGCTTACAATCCTTCATCATCTCAGTCAGGATTTCAATCCCCCCTGCGTAGAACAAAGGGATCTGATCAGGCTTGGAAAGAGTATCCAGAAGATTCTTGGTCGTCACGGCCGAGTTCTTTCCTGAGTCCAGTGACTCCTGGGCTTCCTTCTCTTGAAGGTCTGCTCTCTCCCGAAGATCTACCTGATTTAGGTAATCTAGTAAAACAAGGAGGAGAAGCACAGCAACATCCTAACAAGCAACTCGTGGACCAACCTTTTTCTGAAGATGGAAAGTTGAGAGGCAGAAAGCATGAGAATAATTCAAACTTGTTTTCAGCACAGAAAACTTTTAGGAAGAGTGTACAGTTTCTACCCAGAATCTTAAAAACATCTTGAAATCATTCAAGGACAACATCATTTGCTGTCTAGAAGGCTCTGGGGGAGGATGGTAGAGAAAAGGAGGAAGGCCAAGAACAGAGAAAAAGAAGGTGGGCAGGGTGGTTAATGAGAGGATTGGACTGTGCAGGGCTGGGCAAGGCTGTGTCCGTGGCCAAGAGCAGAGAAGGTGTGGAGGGCACCCCACAGCCAGAGCAGAGGGGAGGTGCAATTCAAACAAGGACGTCAGCAGGAAGTCTCACCTTTTACCTGTGTCTGCAGCTGGGGGTTTATTTCTAAGATCTTCTGATAACACTCTCTAGACTGGAAGAAAGAAACAAGGTCATGAAGAGTGGCTGGGGGGGGGAACGGTGATTATAAGAAAGGCACTAGCTACCACAGGGCTTGGCTTCTTCATTATCTCCTCCCAGCCTCCCCTGCTCCCCTCGTCAGAGGCAGGCATGGGGAACGCAGCGTGCATTTGACATTTTGTTTAGACTTCTCTGGTTCTGTGGGGGCAACGGGCAATATTTCAAAATTCATTTTTAAAAATAGTGTTGTCAGATACAGTCTCTGATGGAAAATAACCACTCCTAAATTCTCATGGTTCATGACTGGCTGGGAGAGGCATAATCATAAGGTTAATGCAAAATTCAGATATGATATCTGCACTGAGAAAGAATGGGAGACTACCTGTCAGATATGCCCACATGGAATAAGGAAATAAATGAAGCTAGAAACATTTGACGGAGATTTCGGAACAGGAAGAGAGATAACTGCCTATTTAAATGTGCAGGCTGCAGAGGGCTAGTGAGGGGGCTGTTCACTGGCCATGGAATAGTCAACTAGAACCCCTGAGAGTGAGGGGCTCTCGCTGAGGACACTATTAGAAAGTTCCTGCAGAAGAAAGATTCTTGCTAATGGGTTTAGGATGACAGGTTTAGGGCAGAGAAGAAAAGCTCACGGGGGAGAAGAAATGGTTCTCAGATATCTTAAAGGCTTAAGACTCATCTAGAAGATCAGGATTAAGAAATAAACTGAAGAGAAAAACATCACATTAAAACAGTGAAGAGTGTTGCAAGATATCGAACATGGTAACTGTAATAGATTGAATGTTTGGATCTTCCCAAAATTCATGTTGAAACCTAATCCCCAATGTGATGGATCTGGACGTGTGGGCTCTGGGAGGCGACTGGGTCAGAGGTGGAGCCATCATGAGGGAGATGGTACCCTTATTAAAGGGACCCAGAGAGCTTCCTTGCTCCTGCTCTCTGTCTATGAACTAGGACAAAGGCCCTCATCAGACACTGAATTTGCTAGCATCTTGATCTTGGACTTCCTAGAATTGGGAGAAATAAACCTTTGTTGTATAAGCCACCTGGTCTATGGAACCCCAAAGGACTAAGATAATATCCCTGTTTCCAACTTCTTTTCAACCCTAGCTCTAATCTATCAATAATTCTCGTTGACTTCACTGTGAGCATATAAGCAGAAGCCCTCACTTCTTACCACCTTCATTGTCACCAACCTGGTCCAAGCCATCATCACGTCTCACTTGGATGACTTGTTGCAATAGTGTTCTGACTGGTTTTCTGTCTTTTTCTTACCATGTCAAGATACATTCTCAATACAGCAGAGTGATCCTTTAGAATACAAGTCAAATCATTTCACTTCTTTACTCAAAACCTTCTGATGGTTCCCAGAGCACTCAAAATAAAAGTCCAGGTCCTTCCAAAAACCTGTAGGGCCCTAGGGCATCAGTCCCTCACACACTCCCACAGGCTCACCCTCTCTCCTCTCACCCTCCTTGCTCATTCCATTCTAACCATCTGCCTATCTGGACCATTCCTCCACTGTATATCCACATGGTTTCCTCACTTCATGCCACTCTTTCCTTCAGAGAATCCTTCCCTGGCCACTCTCTATAAAACCAATCTCACCTTCGCCACTTCCCAATGGCACGTATCACTATCTAATGTACCACACATCTACTTATTTGGTTTCTATCTTGCAACAGGTCACCCTTACTGCGAGAAAGTAAGTCAAGGAATTTCTCTGGTTTCCTGCTGATTTCCTGCTGCCTAGAACAGTGCCTGGGACACAGAGAGTATGCATTAAATATCTGCTGAGTGAAATAATTAACTAAATAAATTAATGACTAAATGGAATTTGGTGGACAGGGGATTAACATTTTCCTTTTTACTTCTCTATTATTTGACTTTATCCTAATAGTTTGTATTATTTTTGAATTAAAATCCAACAGAGAATAATTTTTTTTAAATGCACAATAGGGAGCAATTTCTTTTTAAACACATTATATCTTGTAAATGGAAATACATCTCATGTTCATGGATTGGAAGTCTTAATATTATTAACAATATTCAATGCAATTCAATGCAATCTCCATTAAAATTCCATCTGTTTGAATAACATTCCATTGTATAAATATACCACATCTTTATTCATTCATCTGACAATGGGCATTTAGGCTGCTTACATGTCTTGGCTATTGTAAATAGTGCAACAGTGAACACTGAGGTGCATGCATCTTTGCAAATTATGACTTTCCCTAGATATATGCTCAGGAGTGGGATTATGGGATCATAAGGTAGCTCTATTTTTAGTGTTTTTAAGGAAGCTCTATACTGTTGTCCAATTTATATTCCCACCAACAGCGTAGGAGGGCTACTTTCTCTCCACACCCTCTTTAGCATTTATTATTTATATTACTCAGCCATAAAAGAAGAATAAAATAATTCCATTCGCATCAACATGGACAGACCTAGAAATTATCATACCAAGTGAAGTAAGCCAGAAAAAGACAAATATGATATTCCTTATATGTGAAATCTAAAAAAAAATGACACAATGAACTTATATAGAAATAGACCTACAAACAGAGGGAAAAAACTTATAGTTACCAAAGGGGAAAGGGTGGAGAGAGACAAATTAGGAATTTCAGTTCAGTTCAGACGCCCAGTCATGTCCAATTCTTTGCCATCCCATGGACTGCAGCAAGCCAGGCCTCCCTGTCCATCACCAACTCCCGGATTTTACTCAGACTCATGTCCATCCAGTCGGTGATGCCATCCAACCATCTTATCCTCTGTTATCCCCTTCTCCTCCTGCCTTCAATCTTTCCCAGCATCAGGGTCTTTTCCAATAAGTCAGTTCTTCACATCAGGTGACCAAAGTCTTGGAGTTTCAGCTTCAGCATCAGTCCTTCTGAAGAATATTCAGGACTGATTTCCTTTAGGATTGACTGGTTTGATCTTCTTGCAGTCCAAGGGACTCTCAAGAGTCTTATCCAACACCACAGCTCAAAAGCATCAATTCTTCGGTGCTCAGCTTTCTTTACAGTCCAACTCTCACAGCCATACATGACTACTGGAAAAACCATAGTTTTGACTAGATGGACCTTTGTCGGCAAAGTAATGTCTCTGCTTTTTAATATGCTGTCTAGGTTGGTCATAGCTTTTCTAAGGAGCAAGTGTCTTTTAATTTCATTGCTGCAGTCACCAACTGCAGATTTTGGAGCCCAAGAAAATAAAGGCTGTCACTGTTTCCATTGTTTCCCCATCTATTCGCCATGAAGTGATGGGGCTGAATGCCATGATCTTCGTTTTTTGAATACTCAATTTTAAGCCATCTTTTTCACTCTCCTCTTTCACTTTCATCAAGAGGCTCTTTAGTTCCTCTTCGCTTTCTGCCATAAGAGTGGTGTCATCTGTGTATCTGAGGTTATTGATATTTCTCCCAGAGTTCAGGATTCCAGCTTGTGCTTCATCCAGCCCGACATTTTGCATGATGTACTATGCATATAAGTTACATAAGCAGGGTGACAATATACAGCCTTGACATAGTCCTTTCCCAATTTGGAACCAGTCTGTTGCCCCATGTCCAGTTCTAACTGTTGCTTCTTGACATGCATACAGATTTCTCAGGAGGCTGGATGCTGCTGCTAAGTCACTTCAGTTGTGTCCGACTCTGTGCGACCCCAGAGATGGCAGCCCACCAGGCTCCCCCGTCCCTGGGATTCTCCAGGCAAGAATACTGGAGTGGGTTGCCATTTCCTTCTCCAATGCATGAAAGTGAAAAGTGAAAGTGAAGTCGCTCAGTCGTGCCTGACTCTTAGAGACTCCATGGACTGCAGCCTACCAGGTTCCTCCATCCATGGGATTTTCCAGGCAAGAGTACTGGAGTGGGGTGCCATTGCCTTCTCCACAGGAGGCCGGATAGTCACATGTAAAAGAATGAAGTTGGATCACTTCCTCACACTATATACAAAAATTAACTTGAACTGGATCAGAGATCTAAATACAAGTGGTAAAGCCATAAAATTCTTAGATCTTGGATTAGGCAATGGTTTCTGACATTTGATATCAAAATCATAAGCAATCAAAGGAAAAAATTAGGTAATGTAGACTTTCATTAGAAGCAAAAAACTTTTGTGCTATGAAGTGAAAAGATAACACAGAGAATGGAAGAAAATATTTTTAAATCATTTATCTGATAAGGGACTTGTATCCAGAATTTATATTGAATATTACATTATGATAATATTTATATTACTTTATATTTAAGTTATATAAATTTATACCAGATTGATTACATTTATATTCAATATAAAAAGACAACCTATTGATAAAATAGACAAAGGATCTGAAGAGACATTTCTCCAAAGATACATAAATGGCCACTAAGCATATGAAAAGAGACTCAACATTATTAGCCAACAGAGAAATGCAAATCAAAATTATGAAATACCACTATAAGGTGGTATACTCATCAGGACGGGTATAATAAAAAAGACAAATAAATAGCAAATATTGTCTGGGATGTGGAGAAATCAGAAACATATACTGCTGGCAGGAATGCCAAATGATACAACCACTCTGGAAATCACATGGGCAATTCTTCCAAAGAATAAACACAGAGTTACCGTGTGACTCATCAGTTTCACTCCTGGGTGTATAGCCAAAGAGATCGTAAACATGTGTCTATACAAAAGCTTGTACATGGATGTTCATAATAGCCAAGAATGGAAATAAGTCACATGTTCAACTGACAAACGGATAAATAAAATGTGGTATATCCATAAATGGAATATTGTTTGGCAATGAAAGAAATGAAGTACTACATATTAATATATTACAACATGGATGAAACTTGCAAACATTATGCTAAGTGAAAGAAACCAGTCATGAAAGACCACAAATTGTATAGTTCTATTTATATGAATAGTGTAGAACAGGCAAATGGATAAAGATAGCAGTAGCTTATTAGTTGCCTAGGGGTGAACTGGGGGTGGGGGTGGAGGGACGGGAAGTGACTGCTAGTGGGTGACAAAAATGTTCTAAAGTTGACTGTGCAATTCTGACAAGACACTAAAAACCACTGAGTTGTGTATCTTTCATAGAAGAATCGTTTGACACCTGAATTAGATCTTAACAAAGCTGCTATTACAAAATATATCTCAGTGTGTACATATATCTGCACGGTTGCTTTCTGGTGATGAGATCACAAGTGAATTTTGCTTTTTCATCTTTTTTCTTATGTCTTTTCTCTCCAGAGATGCTCCTCCCAGGGCTGAAAGAACACTGGGAGAAGACACTGCAGAAGAAGTTCCTATGGCAGGTGGGGCTATACCAGATGACACTCAATATCCTCCCCAACTCTAAGATTTACTGTGGAAAATACTAAAATGTGGATTAACATCTCATCAACTTGGAGGAATGTGGTTCTCCTCTGAGACACTCTGAAGCACTGCTCCAAGATCAAACATACCACTTAAGCTTCCTCTTGCACTTACCTCACTGTAGTTCTTTAGGGCTAGGTGGGCTTTTCCCATGTGGAAATACGCTTTTGTGCATTTTTCATCACACTGCATAAAAGAGAATCACTGATCAGATGTTTTGGAAGATTTGAAATCATCAGCACCAACTGCCCAGCTAATAGGGTTAGGGTAGCGCTTTGATTCCCAGGACAGCCACCAGAGTTGACAATTAAGACTTTTTCTGTGCATCTGTGACCAAAATAATTGATGCTTGCAAGGAGCCTGGATGCACAAGTAAGCTCTATATCAAATTAATTCATGATACTCGCCAGTTTTCATTTCCATTTAATGAAACTCAACCAGGAAACAAACCAGAAACCCTTAGTTTAGAAGAGCTCTTGACCCTGGTTGAACATTAGAATCACCTGGGGGTGCTTGTAAAAAACTCCTGACAGCCCAGCTGAAACCCACAGCAATTAAATTATACCCATGGGTAGGACTCAGGTATCGATAATTTCTTATACTCTCCAGGTAATATAAATGCCCAACCAAGTTTGAGAACCACTGGTTTATTAGCAGGTAGGAAAATTTACTCTGGGTAAACAACTGAGGTTATTATTACATCTTAGGAAGCCTGGCAAGTTCCTCCCTCGAAATAAACCACAATATATACACCGGGTACTTGGTTTGTTATCACTTTTGATCATAAAGTGAGCCCCCTTTAAAACTTATGAAACTTATGGCTGAAACAATACTGCTTGCTCAAGGGACCCTGCACTGGCCTGCTCTGAATTACTGTAACTACAGAGGGAATGATATAGGACAAAGACATAAACTTAAAGCATCCAGTTAATTCACTGAAGCCCTTTTATGTGCCAGGCCTTGTGCTGGGTCAGATGCTGTCAGGCATGTGGATGTACAGAGGGAGTCCAAGCTCAGGAGTCTAGAAAGTCCTGGGTAAAGCCCTGTCTGCCTCTCACTGGCCAGGCCCCCCAAGTTTTCTGAGGTCATCATCCCCAACTGCAAAGTGGAGATCATAACAGTGTTTCTCCTGGGCTGTTGTGAGGAGAGAACGTGTGTAAAACAGTGCAATACCAGGTAACAGAGTGTTAGCTGCTATTGCTGCATTTACAAGGAAAGCAATCCATTTCAGGGCAAAAAGGAAAATTTAAGAAAAGCTAAAGAATAATAGAAGGGGTAACAATAATCATTACATTTGAAGAGGCCTTTATAGATGCATTTTCATGAATATCATTTCCTGATTCCTTGCTAAGTGAATGATGGTAATTATATTAATTACCATTATTTTCAGTCCTGACTATATGGTTCATAGGAATGATCTTATGTAAACCTTATAGCAACTCTATGAAGGAGATATAGTTATTACTCCCATTTCACAGATGAGGAAACCAGGGGTCAGAGAGGTTTAAGGTCACACAGACCCTAAATGGAAGAACTGGGATTAAGATCTAGCATTGGACTCCAGGACCCAAAGGCTTAGAAATCACACTGGATCTCCTGCAGAGAAGTGCTACAGCAATTCAGAAGGAGGAAACCCACTCTGAAGAGATCCCCTACATACGAACCTGCAAGTTGCAAACTTTCAAAGATGCAAATGTGCATCTGGTTCCAGCAAGCAACATCTCCCTCCTGCAGTCAGTAACCCTTCTTGCCTGTTCACTCCTTGCCAGCCCCGTATGCCAACTTTTGTACCAAACTACTATACTTTTCAAGGTACTGTACGCTGATTAAAAATGTTTTCTTTATTTTCTGTTCATTTGCTTTTTACGCATTATTTGTGTGAAACCTATCATAGTACAGTACTATATAGCCGATTGTGTTAGTTGGGTACCATGGCTAACATTATTGGACTTATGAACATATTGGATTTATGAACGCACTCCTGGAATGGAACTTGTTCCGATGTAGGGGACTTACTGTAGTCTAACAAAGACATACTGCATTTCAGAGGATGCCAAGACAATCACATAGAAACCTTTGGGGGTGGGGGCAGCCGAAATGCGGGGATGGGGGCAGCTGAAATGGCCCTGGCAGGGATGAGTGTTGAACCCACGTGAAGAGACAAGAGCTTTGAAGGAGAAACTGCAGGAAGAAGAAATGCAGGGAGCTGTGGTGTGAACCCTGCAGAACTCACACAGGATGAAACTAAGGCTTCACTGGCAGACGTCAGGGTTCCAACAGGGGAAAGGGAGCCCCACTGTGCCCTCCTGACAGGGTGTATTGTGGCCACGCCTCTGCAGACACTGACACCAGGGCCCGCTCACATGCTTTCTCACTAATAGGCCCTTTCTCCTTTGATGAGGTATCAGTTCTCACCAGGACTCTCTCAGGCAAACCCCAGATCCCCTTAAAAGGAATTCTGCCTTCAGAGGAAGATGTCTTTTATTGTGAAGGAAGATTTCTGCCAAGAAAGAAATGATTCTGATCCTAATTGAAACCTGTTTCACTGCCTTATCTTCCCAGACAAGGAACATGGGCCTTGAAATATCATCACATGGGCTTGTCGCTGCCAAGTCACAGGTGTCAAAAATACTAAATTGGCATGAAAGGACTAATACTTTCATGGGGTAAAATAATAATGGAGTGCCACTGATGTTCACTACTGATATTTTAAAATGTGAAACTTTTTCTTTTGATTCACAGCTTCCATGTAGAGCCAACCCTTGTTAGTTTTTAGATCTCCTTACACATTTTTTGCCCCAGCCCTCCAAGTGTTCACCTAATCCTCTGCAACGGGAGCCTTGCTGGGCTCTTATCAAGGTTGGTTGCTGGGTCTCAGCTATGCTGGACCAGCTCTGCTTCAGTCTCACCGTTCGTCACACTGTGCTTCAGTTAACGTTTAGGAACAGGCCAGCGTGTCGTGCTGAATCACCATGAGGCTGTGATTAACTCTTTGGGGCTTCACAGTTCAGAAAAGATACTCATGAGAGGCCCCATGAGATCTTGTTTCTGCCACAGAAGGAATGAGAGCCACGCCCAGGGATGACGGGGTTTCCAGTTTCCGAGGAGAGGTGTTTACAGTCAACAGCTCAGGGCACCAGCCTATGGCGAGGCCAACGTGGGCTATGTGATCCCGGGCAGTTTACTTAATTAATCTCTGAGGTTCAACTTCCTTGTTAGAAAGATAAGGATAACTGTGGTGTTGACCAGAACAGAAGGCTGTGAGGCTTCAATGAGATGGGTCACAGCCAGCAAGCAGAAACGCAGCTTTTGCTTTTATTGCTAAAACACCAGAGGAAAATGCCCTTGCCTCTCTCTTCTCTTACAGATGATAGTAGGGAAAAAAAAATAATAATAAACAACAAAAAACCATGATCACATATGACCCAGCAATCCCACTTCTGGGCATACACACCGAGGAAACCAGATCTGAAAGAGACACGTGCACCCCAATGTTCATCGCAGCACTGTTCATAATAGCCAGGACATGGAAGCAAACTAGATGCCCATCAGCAGATGAATGGATGAGGAAGCTGTGGTACATATACACCATGGAATATTACTCAGCCATTAAAAAGAATTCATTTGAATCAGTTCTAATGAGATGGATGAAACTGGAGCCCATTATACAGAGCGAAGTAAGCCAGAAAGATAAAGACCAATACAGTATACTAACATATATATATGGAATTTAGAAAGATGGTAACGATAACCCTATATGCAAAACAGAAAAAGAGACACAGATGTACAGAATAGAATTTTGGACTCTGTTCTGTATTTGGGAGAAGGTGAGGGTGGGATGTTTTGAGAGAACAGCATTGAAACATGTATATTATCTAGGGTGAAACAGATCACCAGCCCAGGCTGGATGCATGAGACAAATGCTCGGGCCTGGTGCACTGGGAAGACCCAGAGGAATCGGGTGGAGAGGGAGGTGGGAGGGGGGATCGGGATGGGGAATACATGTAAATCCATGGCTGATTCATGTCAATGTATGGCAAAAACCACTACAATATTGTAAAGTAATTAGCCTCCAACTAATAAAAATAAATGAAAAAAAAAACAAACCATGATCACATAAAGTGACATAACAGGCTAGTAGATCTCTGCTGGAGCCATGAAGAACCATGAAGGCACCAGCTTTGGGCAGTTCTCATCACTTAAAGATTGTCACGATGCCGTGGGACAAGGTGTTTACTGCACCATATCTTCTAGGGGGTAAAGAAATCAAGCACTCCAGATGTCTGTTTTGGAGAGACCCTCGTGTTTTAGAAACTGTTATTAGGAAAGGTGAGTTTCAAATTCCTTGCCTGCCTTCTCAATAGAAAGTAAGGAAGTAGGCAGGGTCAACGTGCTGCTGCAGTGATGGGCTCTTGGCTGGCCTATGCCCACTCACTAAGCTGGGTTAGGCTGGGCTGGGGAAACTAAGCCCAGGATAAACCTGACACATTTTCCTGGCACTTCAATTTTACTTGATTTTAAGTTATTTAAAATAATACAGTTATATTAAAACAAATAGATACAGTTAATGGTGTGCAATGCAAAATTTGCAAGGATTTCCAAGATATAGCGAAGTCTCTCAGTCATGTCCAACTCTGTGCAACCCCATGGACTGTAGCCCGCTAGGCTCCTCTGTCCATGGGATTCTCCAGGCAAGAATACTGAAATGGATTGCCATTTCCTTCTCTAGGGGATCTTCCCGACCCAGGGATCGAACCTGGGTCTCCCGCACTGCAGGCAGACTCTTTACTGTCTGAGCCACTGGGGGCTCCTAGAAATAATTTGCATCTGAGAAGAAATTTCATGCTCTCTGCTTTTAGACCCTCCAGGGGCTCATGTTCCTTCTGTTAGCACGTTGGCAAGGAAGGTTGAGAGGCATTGGTTTTGATTATTTAGTTAAAGCCCCCTGTGACAGAGTAACTTGGGGGACTGTGGATTAAAGGTTTTTTAAATATTTAGTCATCTGAAATAATGTTCCAAAGAAGTGATCATGACATTTCTCTTTTAAAAACCCTTCTAAGATTTCCACTAACAGTCCTTCCTTCTCTCTACCTTTGATTATCTATTTTGGCAGAAATACCATGCACAGTATTATGCTATCTGCCTGAGGCCTGACTAGCATCCAGGCGGAACAACAGAAAATCTTTCTTCTGATTATTTCTCTACACAGGGGTGCTATGATATATTTCTAAATTGTCAGAGCTGGAGGGGGAAAAGGATGAACTGATGAGGAAGAATGACGACGTGGCAGAAACAAAACCCCCAGGTTGGCTCTAGAAAGCGTAAGACACATCTTCACTATCTCAAGGAGCAAAGCGTCTGCTAACACAATAGTAAAGGGTGAGCCATTGTGATAAAACCCTGAAAAGCCAATGTTAACAACAGTTTCTCTAGAGTACTTCCTGTGGGTGAGGCACCACAGGTGTTATCATAACCCTCACAACGATTCTATTCGCTCCCATTTTACAGATGAGGAAACTGAGGCTCTGACTGCAGTGTCTACACCACTTCCCACTATGATACACCACAGCTCCCCTCTATTCACCTCAGGACTGAGACACCCGGCCTTGAGCAATACCACCTCCATCATGAAGAGGAAACAATCTTCTTACCTTCAGAGCCCAGTCACAATCCACCAGTGCCTTCCGGTAGTCCCCAAGTTTGATATAAGCCTGTAAAGACAAAAATAGCTGCTGTTCACACACAGTTCTGCAGCCAGCAGTCTCCAGTCAATGCAGAAAGAGCAGTCGGGAAGGAGAATGGTGAGAAGTATTAATAACTGGTCCCTGCCTGCATCCAGCAGGAAACAGACAGCATTCATACTGGGTAACAAGGGAGTTTAACAAAGGGACTATTTACAGGGTGAGTGCAGGGCAGATGGAGACCAGCAGTGGGTAGCCAGCACCGCTGCTAGACCTGAAGGAGCAGAAGGAGGAGTAACAGACAAAACGGAAGAGGGCTGCTTTGTGAAGAATGCTGCTTAAGAGGAGCTGAGGCCTTTAGTAGAGAGGAAACTGGAGGAGGAAGGACCAGTTCACTTTCCTCCTTCCTTCTGATCTCACTGGGCAAATGGAAGTTAGAAAGCTGGGAAGCCAAGAGGCCAGTCCACAGAGGTCAGTCCCCCAGGGCACAGAAGGATCTGGAGGGACAAACAGAAAATACCCAGCGCACCTAAACACCCCTCCAAAGGAAAAGCCAGTTCCTGGAGGCTACCCTGCTGTGAATGTTCCAGAAGGAAACCAAATGAGAAAGGGGATCAAAATGACAGATAATAACAAGTGTTGTTGAGAATGTAGGAAATCAGAGCACTCATACACTGCTGGTGGGAACTGCAGTGATTTTGGAAGACAGTCTAACTCAAAAGGTAAAACACAGAGGTGCCATATGATACAGCAATTTCACTCCTGGGTATATAACCAAGGGGACTATACGTATATGTTCATGCAAAAAGTTGCATGCCAATCTTCAGCGCAGCATTACTTATAATACCCAGAAAGCAGAAATAACTCAAATGTCCATCAACTTATGAATGGGTAAATAAAATATAGTAGATTCACACAATAAAATATTATTTGGAAATAAATAGGAATGGGGTACTGATGCACACTAAAACATGGATGCACCTTGAAAACACTATTGAATGGAAGAAGCCAGACACATAAGGATAAATACCGTATGATGTCATTTACATGAAAAGCCCAGAACAGTCAGGTGCATAGAGGTGTATAGAGACAGAAAGTAAATTAGTGGTGACCTAGGGCTGGGGTGGGGGAGGACAAGAGGATTGAGGAGTTAAAAGGTATGGGGTTCTTTTGGGGATGATGAAAATGATCTAAAATTAGTTGTGGTGAGGGTTGCGCAAGCCTGTGAATAGAAACCACTAAATTGTATTTTCAATAGGGGAATTATTGGTTATAGCAACTGTATCTCAATAAAACTGTTGCCAAAATATGATCAAGAAAAAGTTTTGCTTCTTTCCTCCTGAGAGAAGTGAGGAGTTTATACAGGAAATGAGCTCACACAGGAAAAGAGCTCATGCAGGAAATGAGCTGACATATAAGAGTCAGACCATAACCAGGAGCCCTTGGTTTCAAATGCCTTGCAGCTCTCTTCTGCGATCCCCTAGAATTGGGGAAAATCTTGAAAACCAAGCATTAACTCAGAATTCTGTGATTCACTCAAAGTGAACTAACTTAAGAATTTAGATCATTTATAGTTTCCAAGAACTGTGGCATATAAGCAAATGAAAGTCTGCACCAAGGCTGTTATACCCTCTGTATTAATTACTGGATATGAAAGATGCTTAATAAATTCTTGTCAAGTTGCACAAAGTAGAATTAAGTGCTCTTCTTTTGGAAAGTTCCCTAAGAAGCAGCAGTGATCACCTTGTTGGAAGAAAGGAAAACTAGGCACCAGGGTACTATTAGTAACCAGTAACAGATCCAATACTCCACAGAGGTCTGCCCATGATCAAAACCGCACCAGGGCTCTGTGACATTCTGGACAATAAATCGGATGAGATATCTACACGGACAAGCCAATTATGAGTTAGTGTTATAATTCACGAGAAATCTAAGCAGTCAACCAAAGTGAAGGGGGAGCAGGCAACAGCAGGTTAATGGAATTTCTGCTGGGCAGCTCTTTGTACCAATAGAAAGGAAGCTGCTAGGCAGTGCTTTCATCAACAGGGGTTCAGTACTAATTGAAGATGACGACTCTCTGAGCTCTCTGTTCTGTATAAAGCACTGTCCTTTCCTCTGGGTTTGGGGTTTCATTTGGAAGTCAGAGGATGTGAGGAAGAAATTAGCATCCTTCTAGACAACTTTAGTCATGACTTCACGACATTGTTATTCAGGATGCAGGCTCCGTATGGGCTTCAACAATTTCTCTACACAGTCTTTCACTTTTGCTTCTTTTCCTTTTTTAAAGCTTGGACTCAACACCCTCTAAATTCCCTGTTTGCTTTTGTTTTTCCACATTTTGAAAAGAACGACTTTTCCAAACGGCAATTAAACTCCTGATTTATCTAAATTACACCAGCAATCTATTGATCATAACACTAGCTCCGGGAGAAAAACAAAGCAATGAAAGGGTAGGTTTTCTCTCTAGCAAGCATCGACACTCAATTCACAGGGTCCTTATTAAGTGTTTTCTAACACCACATGCAAACAGGGAGGCATTTAAAAAATAGTCAATGGTTCAAATGGTTCCTAACACCAGGCAGCACATTTTGCATTTATTTGTCTCTGAATAAGCTTTCTCTTTGGGAAAAGAGGAAGGAATTGCCTCCGCAAAGCTTTTCATTGCATTTACCTATTTTTATCCACAGTCATTCTTGATGTGGTTCTCCAGAACTAATCAAAGTACTGCTTAAACTTGAGTACAGTAAAAATGTAACTAATTTAGATGAATCAGGGTATAGACCATCTGAATTAGATGTAAGTCTGCATTATATAACATTCTAAAGGCGATTCAATTTTACAGCTTTCAGGTAACTTCAGAGTAACAAGACTGAATAAGCATCAGTAGGTAAATGGTTTGGAGACCAAATTTGTGATAAATAAAAAAGAACTATAATTATCATATTAATTGTTTGTTTGCATTTAGCTGTTTCTTTTGATGTGTCAACAGAAACCTCACTCCTTCAAATGGACTTGCTGTGCCTCCACCAAGTGTTATATAACTTAATAAGGATTTATTGAACATTAGTTATAAGCACAGCATTATGGGGAAAAGCATATGGCAATTTTTACCCTCAAAAACTGTATAATCTTGTAAGGGCAATAAAATGGACATGGCAAAAATCAACCTCTGGCCATTTTATTTACTGGTTCACTTCCTTAAAACAATTTTTTTCTCCACAAATGGGGGTAGGTAAATGACACCTCAACTCGAGACTGATTTATCCAAACTGGTGAACTAATGAGTTTATGTTGTGTTGGATTTTATTTATCATTAAATCATTGTCACTGTCCAGACATCACTGAACTGCTGATGTCCTGTTTCTTGTACTCTTCCTCAACATACCACAGCAGGATATTCTTAATCCTGAGTTACAAAATTGGAGCTGATGAGGATCCTCTCCTTGTCAATGACATGGCATCAAGTTCATCTCACCCAGGTCCTGCTGACATACTCTGATCATCAGATAATCAAGTCCACAAATCTGTCAATTTTTCAGGCCTGAGCAGGAGACAGCTCTCCCATACACAAACTCAAGCACTTTTCAAAGATAAGGTCACAGGTGACATTTTTGATTCAACTGAAAACTATTCATCTTGTCCCTTCATTAAGGAGTAGATGATAAACATCAAGGTAATGATTTTTATCTGGTGTTCCAGAAATCTGAGCTCATCTGTGATATTAAATGGAAGTATCAGGGGTTTTACAAACTCAAAATTTCTGAGAAATTGGCTCAGGCCCATTAGCTCGAGTATACCCAATCACAGAATCTTAATCAAGGAGGGATTCATACAATGAGTCAGAAATTAACAAGACAGTTATCCTTAGGAGCCTTAAACTGGCATCAAAAAAGAGGATGAACTAAGTCAGGGGTGGCAGAATTCCAAGGTCCCACAGGCTATCTCGTTCCACTGGCTTTCTCAGCTACACACAAAGGACCATCAGTGATGAGATGGGAGACTTTTACTATGGAGAGGGCCGATTATGTGTAGCTATTCCCAAGTCCTCCTTTAATGAGTCCGAGTTGGTAGCTTGAAACTGGACCATAACGAGAGTATTTACACCACGGAAATTGGCAAATGCTCCATGCAAATCAGCCTCCAGCCCCACCCCAACCAGAGCCGGCTGCCATGCATTCATCACCACACCACTGGTGCCAGCTAATCTCATCTTTCTCTGCTTTCACAAGTGGCTGCCGTCCCCTGGGGAAATCCCGCGGACACAACCTTGCCTCACTGACCTGAGCTCGATTGGTGTACAGAACTTTCATGTCCTTCAGCTTCTCCAAACCCTCACTGTAGCACAGGATGGCTGTTTCATAATCACCTCTGACAAATGCTTCATTCCCCTTTTCTTTCAGGGCTGTGAGAACAAAAGTCATACAGGTGAGCTCTCCCCACACACCGGAAAATGCTTTCAAGCTTCACTGCCCTGATTTTCCCATTCCACTTTGAAGGTTAGTATGTCCATCCATCCAAAGGGGGCCTGGCACTTCCTTCTCTCTGCAGATCATTTCTGGGTCGATTTCTTTTATATAAATCCACCTCAAGTCTTCTCCGCTGCTTCTCAGAAAAAGCAAATGTTTCTGCCTCAAGGCTCAGAATATCCCAAGCTTGCCACAAGGAGCAAATCAACACATTCAGTGTCTAATAAAGAGATTCAAAAGACTAATTTTCTAGCAAACATGGAATCATTCGGATCTGCAGCGCACATAGCACTGAGTGATATAAAGTAAATGCTGAAAGTATTCTTCTGTCATATGTATCCCCCCATCCCACGACCACACACACAAAACCCCAGCTCTTTCTTTTCCTTTATTTCCCCTCTCCTTTCTCCCAGCTTGGGGCTTCCCTCATAGCTCAGCTGGTGAAGAATCCGCCTGCAACGCAGGAGGCCTGGGTTTGATCCCTGGGTTGGGAAGATCACCTGGAGAAGGGATAGGCTACCCACTCCAGTATTTTGGGGCTTCCCTTGTGGCTCAGCTGGTAAAGAATCTACCCACAATGCGGGAGACCTGGGTTCACTCCCTGGGTGGGAAGATCTCCTGGAGAAGGGAAAGGCTACCCACTTCAGTATTCTGGCCTGGAGAATTCCATGGACTGTATAGTTTATGGGGTCGCAAAGAGTCGGGCACGACTGAGCGACTTTCACTTTCTCCCAGCTTTGTTTTCTTGTTTCGCTTTTCTTTTTCACATCTTCATCTGTGCCTGAGGCTAGAGATTGGTACCTCACTCCCACCCCTCCCTACTTTCCAAGCATCCTTCAGTGCTGCTACATTCAACCATATGCTTTAGAAACAGGTCTGACTGTGGAGGCTGTCTCGGGGCTGTTGCAGTAGAAACAGGACACAGACAAGTCTCTGCCTGGCCAGGTCCCACTGCCTCAGGCGCATTTTGAACCCACCCACTGGGAATCTTGATGTCCTCAAACAGCAGCATAAACTCCCCCGCTTTTTCCAGCACAAACCATCCCTGCCATTAAAAAGTGAAAAGACTGACAATTACCATCTGCTAAGACTTTGTTTTCCCTTCTTCTTTTGGCACGTTCTTTAGCATCCTTCTCCAGAGATGCCAAGAAGGCTTCTGACAACAGAGTGATTTCAAATATTAAAAAAGAAAAATCCGAATACTATAATCAGTTCTTTAGCTCAAATTCAGAAAAAAAGCCACTTCAGAGTTTTAGAGCCACACGTTTCATGCATACACATGTAGGCACACACACGCACACACACACACACAGATTTTGGAGACAACTGAAATGACATTTTCTTAATTCGACATTAAATGGGAATCTGTGTGATGTATTATTATACATGATGACTATGTCTGTGCTTCAAATTTGAATTATGCCTTTTAAAAGAGTTTTTCTTTGAAGACGGACTTTTTTGGTTCCACTTAGCATAATGAGCTGCTGAGCTGAGCAACTGAGAAGCTCTCTGAATCCTTCTGAGTAGCTAAGAGTAAATTGGATGAAACAGAATAACTGAATTCAGTGTACAGAAGATTGGTCAGGAGAACACAGGAAAAATCCTCTGAGCGCCATTCCCTCTGACCACTAGTAACAGGACTGGGTGATCAGTAGGTTTTTGTTTATGGTTGTTTGTAAGTCCAGAGGCTATAATTTAAGGATCTAGAAGTCACAATCAATAAACACTGACTTTAAACGAATAATACACATTGGGAAGAGAGATGCAGTCCTTACCTGTGTTTATTTCATCTGCATCCTTCAGGGCACAGGTTATCATAAAAAGAAAGAAACAAATTTCAAAAACTACTCTCTTATTTATACATATACAAACCAAGAAGGCAGATAAATTTCAAGGGGGGGAGTAGAGTCCTTTCCTTTAGCCAGAATACTAGAAGGTTCCAAATTCAGGGGGGTTGCTTTAAATCAGGAGATCTGATTATGGGCATAGCTGTTATGGGGCTAGTCTGCAGAAACCAGGGACCCCAGCTGTGGCTGCATGAATTGGAACTATGAGTTAGTAAGCAGTTACATTAACAGCTTAAAAATGGTCCTAATCTCAGTGGGTGGAGAGGCCAAATTTTCATTAAAACTAGCCAAAAGGATTGTTTAAGGATGACTCAGAAAGGCCAAGAAAAATATATCAGAGTTTATACTTCCTTGTGAAAAATCTAGTGAATCTAAAGGACAAGTCTATTTCAGCCTCACCAGGCAGTTGAGATTAAAGCACTCCGTCCTCTGTTCCATGCAGACCTCCTTGCTGTGCCTACACAGATAACTCCACAATAAGCAAAGGGCACCTTCATGGGAGCTTTCGGTGGACTGATCGTGGTCTTGTTCATGGTGGTCCTGCACTCGTCCTCCTCCTGGTCCCCCTCTGGAAGCTGCAGTCTCTTTTCCGTCTCAAGGACCGCTTTCTCGCGTACGGCTGGATCATCAGAATTCATCTCCTGAATTAAACTGGCTAGAGGAGAAATCAGAGGTGACTCATTCAAGTAAGGTCTTCAAAAAGAAAGACCCTACTCAATATCAATGATGGTATAGTAAATTTCATGGGGAAGGACTTCTATTTTTTCCAGCTTTTTTGAGATACAATTGACACATGACAATGTGTAAGTGTAAGGTGTATCACATGGTGATCTGATACAGGTATACAGTGAGAAATGGTTCCCACACCAAGATGAGTTAACACATTCATATTTCAAAATTTTTTTGTGAGTGGTAAGAATATTTAAGATCTCCTCTCAGCAACTTTAAAGGGTACAGTATTGTTAACTATAATCACTCTGCTGTTTATTAGACTCCCAAAACTTATTCACCTACTAGAGAGTTTGTGTAAATGCATGTATTTAAACATCTTAAATAAATGTTCTTCAATAAAATGTGCATTCTTTTGCAACTTAGTTTTTTCTCTTAGTATGCTTTAGAGAATTGTTCTTGATACAAATAGTTCCAGTTGATTCATTTTACTTATTTTACATAGGTGATTCATTCTCTTATTGATGGACCTCCAGGTTTTTAAATTTTTTTCTACAGCAAATAAATGCTGAATTGAATATATGTATATATTTTCCCATGCACGTATGTGACATATTCTTTAGGTTATGGCTATATCAATTTTTATTCCTACAAGCTGTGTACGAGAGTTCCCACCTCCACATCCTTGCTAACACTTGTTATCATACTTCTATGTTGTTTTCACTATAATGCGTTTATCTCCTTAATGTTGTCATTTGCCTTTTCTTGAATGTGACTGGGATCCAGCATCTTTTTATTGGTTTATAGGCCATCTGGATTTCCTTTCTGTCAATTGCCTGATCCTATTTTCTATTGGGTTGTTTGTCTTTTTCTTATTGTGATTGTCTTATATCTTCTGGACTGTTATGTATATTTATGAACATTTTCTACTTGGGTATGGTGTGTTTTTAATTTGTTTTTATGGAACCTTCCATTGAAGAGATTCTGTGCTTTAAATGTACCAATATTTCCCCTTATGACTTATGCCTTTGTGTATATTAAGTTTACAAATATACTCTTGTGTGTCTTTTAAAAGTTAACATTTTGTTTTTCTCATTAAGGTATTTAATCCACCTGGAGCCAACCTGCTCTTTTTTTTTTTGGCTGTGCGGATACGCAGGGCTCTTAGTTCTCCAGCCAGGGACCAAACCTGTGCCCCCTGCAGTGGAAGCATGGAGTCTTAACCACTGGACCACCAGGTTAAGTCCCCTGGAGCTGACTTTGTGTAGGGAAGGAGCACCATTTGTTGAAGAGTCCCTGCTTTCTCACCGATGAACTGTGTCATCCCTGTTTCATGTTGCATGTGTGAACCTGCTCTAGGATTCTTCATTCTGTTTTACCGGATGACCTGTCTCTTCCAGCACAAAAACTTGCATGCCTAATTATTACAGCTTTATAACAAAACTTGAGCATCTAGTAGGGGGATCCCACCTTCTTATTTTTCTGCAAAATTTTCTGCATTATCCGTGGCCCTTTGCTCTTCCATGTGAACTCTGGAATCAGCCTGTTGAACTCTAAACGAAACATTCTGGGGATTTTGATCTATCCCAGGTGACACTGCTAGCAGTACTGCTAGTCGCTCAGTCCTGTCTGGCTCTGTGGCCCCGTGGACTGGGGCCCGCCAGGCTCCTCTGCCCACGGGAGTCTCCGGGCAAGAACAATGGAGTGGGCAGCCATTCCCTTCTCCAGGGTATCTTCCCGACCCAGGGATCATATCCAGGTCTCCTGCACTGTAGGCAGATTCTTTACCACCTGAGCCACCACAGAAGCCCCCTACCTCCTAGGGGGGAGAATACTTTATTTACAATGCCAAAATAAATCCATCAAGATGTATGCAAGACCTTTATGGAGAAAATTATAAAATTAAGTCAAAAGAACTCCCAGTGGTCAAAACTTTTGAAACAATTTGAGCAAGAAAACAAACATGATAGTATTGTATTAAATATCCATGAGTCTATATGGAGATTTACCTTACATATTTATTTACTTATTTATCTATTCATCATTTCTTTAAATTCATATAGACAAATTTAATTTCAATTAAATTTTATAATTTTCTCCATGAGATATATTTATTTCTTTATATTTATTTAGAAAGATATATATATTTATAATTTTCTTTATACTTATAATTTTCTCCATAAAGAAATACTGCATATATTTTGATGGCTTTGTTTTGGTATTGTTGATGAAGTGTTGTGGGTATATAGCAAGTATATAAGAATGCAACTGAATTTTATACATTAATCTTATATCTAAAAACCTTGCTCAATTTCCTTCTTTAATAATTTATTTACAGATATTCTTGAATTTTTCTCTGTAGACTCTCACACTGTCCAAAGATAATAAGAGCTTCATTCACCCTTTCAAACTTTTCTACTTTTTATCCAACTTCCTTGACTTATTTCTACAACAACCAGTAAAGTGCTAAATAAAAGCAATGATAGTATCTGAGTCTTGTTCTGGACTTTTAAGAGAATCCTTATTTCGCTAGAAGTATGAACGTCTGCATGAGGGTTTGCAGGGCTTTCCAGGTAGCACTAGTGGTAAAGAAGCTGCCTCCCAATGGAGGAGATGTGGGTTTGATCCCTGGGCTGAGAAGATCCTTGGAAGAGGGCATGGCAATCCACTCCGGTATTCCCACCTGGAGAATATCATGGACAGAGGAGCCTGGTGGGCTATGATCTATAGGGTTGCAAAGAGTCGGACATGACTGAAGTGACTTAGCACGCAAGCACATGAGGGTCTGCAATGAGGTTTCAGTTAGTATTCTTTCAGGCTTCCTTCTAGTCTCAGTCGACATGAATTTTTATCATAAATGGGCTTTGAAGTCTAACAAATGTCTTATTTTAAATGTTTGTATCAGCTAAAATGATCTTATGGCTTTTCTCTTCTAAAATGTTAAAATTTGAAAGTACATTAATAAATTTTCTAGTATTCAACCATTCTTGCATTCTTTAGACAGACCAACTTGACCATGATAAATTATGTTTTAATTCATCACTGGATTTGGTTTTCTAGCATTGTAAATAAGATTGTAACTATATTTATAAATAATACTGCCCTATTTTCTTCTAGTACTGCATATTTTTTATTTCGGTGTCTAGTTTCATATAATGATTGGGGGCATCCTCTGTTTTCTCTTTGTAACAATTTGTGTAAGACGGGAATTATCAGCTTTTCAAATAGTTGGAGGGACTTGAAAGTTTGCAAATTCAGAAATTTTTATCTTCCTTGTGAATTTTTCCTTAGAAATTACAGTCTATGCTTTAAAGTCAATTTTGTCTGATAGTAATATTCAACATCTACTTTCCTTTGGATAGTATTTATATCACAAATATTTTTTAGTTTTTAAGGTTCAACTTTTCTGAGTCCTTAATTTTAGTGTGTCTGTTTTGTACAGCACAATAACTGATTTTAAAAAATACAATCTGACAATCTGTTTTAACTGGAGATTAGTCTATTTATTTTACTATAATTGATTCAGTGTTTGGACTAATTTTTACTATATTTCATGTCTTGTATTTACATTTTCTTCCCTTCTTTTCCTGTCTTCATTGGAGTCACTGAGTTTCTTTAGTCCTTTTTTACCCTCTACAAGCTTAGATCTTATGCTTTGCTTTTCTTAAAATGGAAACTCTTTCCATTTTAACAAACATGCTTAACAAATTAAAAGCTTGGAGTCTATCATGTTTTATCCAACCTTTCTGGATGTATTGTATTATGTGGGAGGGATTTTAGAGTCTCTCACCAGTAACATTACTGGAAATGGAGATCCCACTTGCTCTTCTATACGCTACAGTTTGGTTTCTCCTATTCCAAAGTTTTCTCCACCAAAGGTACAAACGATGTTCGCGTTGTTACATTTAATGATCATTCTTTAGTGCCTGTTTTGATCAAGCTCTCTGAAACATCTGACAAATGCTGCCCACTTCCTTCTCGATGAGATGATCTTTCCCCTTTGCTTCCATAACATGATCTTCACCCAGTTTTCTGCCTACCTCTCTAGTCATTGCTTTTGGTCTCCTTTGCTTGCTCCTGCTTTTCCTCGCCTACATATCTTCTAAATCCTGGCGGTCCTCAAGGCTCTGCTCGAGCCCTCCTTTCGTTTTCTCCAGCTTCTCAGGAATTCCTGCTCTTTGCCAAGGCTCTATGTGCCATGCAGATCCCAGTGCCTTCTAAGCTGAACTCCTCACCTATTCTCTCTTTCCCAGGCTCAGACTCACAAAGCCAGCTGCCTTCTGAACATCTTCACCGGGATGCCTTAACTCATCAAACTTGACCTGCCCATCCTCTTTCTCCCAAAAGTGTTCTTCTTTCAAATGCCCCTATCTCAGCAGATGGCTCAACCATCCACCTGTCATTCAATCAAGATTCTCAGATTCATTTGCAAGCTTTTGCTCTCTCTCTGCCCTCTTAGCCATCATCACTAAAGCTTGTCAAATAAGGTCTGAAATCTCTCTTCAAAGTCTACTTGCATCCATTCCGGCCCCATTCTCTTCTCCTCGGAATGCTGTGACAGCCTCCCAGCTGGCTCTCAGCACCTGTCTGCTTCTCTCCTCTAGTCTGCATCTACACCATGGCCAGAGTGACTTTTCTAAGATGTAAATCTGTCCACGTTTCCACTCCGAGTAAACCTCTAAAATATTCCCATTGCTCTCAGGATGAACACGAATTCCTTACCATGGCTTCCAAGGTCTTCCCTGATCTGGCCTCTCTGGACTCAGATGAGACCCTTCTCTCCTTGATCTCTTCTCTCCAGCTACACTTAATCTTCCAGTTTCTCAAAGGTGCCACACTCTCTCTTAACTTTCAGCTTTCCTACCTACTTTCTCCTCATTTACAGTACTCCCCTCTCTCTCCCCAGTGGCCAACTCCTACTCACGTTTCAGATTAGTGCCTAAATCTCATCCTTCAGGGAAGCCTCTATTTGTGGACTGAAATGTGCCCCTCTCCCCCAATTCATATGTTGCAGTATTAACCCCTGCACTGTGACTGTATTTGGAGACGGGGCTTTCAAAGAGGTCATGAAAGATAAATGAGGTCATAAGGGTGGGGCCTTAAACCATTTAGATTCGTGTCCATATAAGAGGAGGAGGAGACGCCAGGAATGTGCACACACACAGAAAAGGCCATGTGAGGACACAGTATGAAAAGGGTTATCTGCAATCCAGGGAGAGAGGGCTCAGGAGAAACTAAACCTAACACCTTGATCATGGACTTCTGACCTCCAGAACTGTGGCAAAAATGAATTTCTGTTGCTTAAGTCCCCCAGTCTGTGGTATCTTGTTACAGAAGCCCGAACAGACTCATATGACTCCCTTAACTGAGTTAGATTCCTTAGCATGTTTAGCATGTTACAAATCTCTCTTTGTAGCATACACCACAGTTGAAATTACTTGTTTCATACCTGCCTTTTCTCACTGGATTGTAGGTATCAGGAAGGAAGATGGTTCTTATTCACTGTTACTGCTCTTTCCAGGGTCTAGCAACACTCAATACATAATAAGCACCCAAGAAATGAATGTATAGAATCTATACACATGTGGCTATATACATTTAAATTATGTATAAATGAAATAGGGCATCCCAGGTGGCACAGTGGTAAAGAATCTGCCTGGCTATGCAGGAGAGGCAAGAGATGAAGGTTTGACTCCTGGGGCTTCCCTGGTGGCTCAGAGGTAGAGAATATGCCTGCCCAACAGGAGACATGGGTTCAATCCCTGGGTTAGGAAAATCCCCTGGAGAAGGAAATGGCAACCCACTCCAGTATTCTTGCCTGGAGAATCCCACGGACAGAGGAGCTTGTGGGCTACAGTCCATGGGGTCGCAAAAGAGACGGACATGACAGTCACTAAACAACAACTATAAATAAATGAAACAGTAGGGGAACTCACTTCATTAATAGCACCAGTCACATTTCAAACCCTCGATGGCCACGTGTGGCCATTGGTTACATCGTGCACACTGCAGATTATAGAACATATCTGTCATTACAGAAAGTTCTACATACAGTATTGATATAAGTGATATGGGAATGAACTTGGGGTATGAATGAGTGTTAGCCAGATAAAGAAAGATGAAGAAGCAGAGAGAAGAAAGCCAACAGGCACAGCAGGAGCTTCAGGGGGGTGTGTGGGGAACAGAAGTAGTTTGTTGCTCAAGTGTGAGGTAAGGAGAGGCGAGAGGCAAGGGTAAGGTCACAGGAGGACTTGGGTCCTGATGAGAGCTTGAAATTTATTGTGACTGCGGGAAGAATCCAAGCAGAGAAGTGTCTGGGTCAGATTTGCATTTTAGATACATTACTCTGTGGGGAGTGTGAGCCTAGAGGCAGGAAACCCAATCAGGGGGTTGTTGAAATAGTCTGGATTAGAGAAGCAGAACAAAGGGAAATTGGGAGAGGACAGAGCTGGGCAAAGAAAGCAAATCTGAGGGCTGATTAAATTCAGGGCTTGGGGGAGGGGGGGAGGCCAGTGTGACTTGTAAATTTAGGGGATGGTAGTGCCACCAAGTAAGACTAGAATGAAGGGGAGGGTAGGAGAAGCAAGTTTTATTTGGGGGAGGGGGACAGAGGGGAAAGAGACGATCAACTGAACTTTGGACACAGGAAGTTCCTGGTGTTTGAGGGACACATGGATGTGACAGCTGGCATAGAGGCTGAAGGTCAAAAACGCAGCTGGTGGCAATTGAGATGTGGGGTCATCAACAAGGGTGGGAGCTAAAACCACATGCTTGGGCTAAACCACTGGCAGAGAAAGTGGTGAGCAGTGGGCCAGGCCAGAACAACATGTGCGGGACGGGCAGAGGAGAGGCCCGTGACGAAAGCAAAGAGCATGCCAAGGATGTATCATCTATGAAGCTGCCTGGACTATTTTAAAAACGATTTTATTCTTTGGAGCCATATGGCCTGTGAGAAGCGACAACTTCAATATATTTCTATGAGATAAGTTTTGCTTTATTGTTGGTTTTCTTGTTTCTACCCTCAAACAGTCCATAGGGTCGCAAAGAGTCAGACGTGACTGAGTGACTGAACTGACTGACCCTCAGACAAGCTCCTTGAAGTCTGAACAGGGACTGGGTACTTCGGAATCTCCTGTATGTGGTCTGTGTGATCAGCGTGTCCTCTGAGAGCCCACTTGCCTGAGCTGCGGAAGGGTCTTCCTACTTAGAGGAATAGAGACACGGGTGTGGCAACCAGGAGCCGTCCATGTAATGTGATGGATACTGAGGGAAGCCATTTGACTTTGCCTCTGCAGCTCAAAGGGCTTCCCAGGTGGCCCAGTGGTAAAGAGCCTGCCTATGAATGCAGGAGACATAAAAGATGAGAGCTCGATCCCTGGGTTGGGAAGATCCCCTAGAGGAGGACATGGCAACCCACTCCAGTACTCTTGCCTGGAGAATCCCATGGACAGAGGAGCCTGGTGGGCTACACTCCACAGGGTCGCAAAGAGTCGGCCATGACTGAAGTGACTTAACACACACGCACACACTGCAGCTCAAAACCGGAAATGGCCTTCCCCCCAGACAAGATGGATTCCAGGTCAACGAGGCTCCTGAGCCTCAAACGCAAGAGCCCATTGGTGATGGGGAAATGGAAGCTCCTTCTGACCTGCTTCTACAGCGAAGGGGAGAAAATACGAAGGGTGGTCAACCTGAACACCAATCAGAATATTAACAGCTTCACTGATACCAATGAAGAGCCAGAAAATATTAGCCCCAGGCACCAATATTACTTATTTCTTGATACCCTCTTCTGTTTAATCTCAATGACATTTTTTTTTTTTCCTTAAGAGTCATAAACCTGTCAGGCAACCCAGGAACTAACTTAGAGTAATCATCTCTCTTTAGTCACTCCACTTCCCTAAAGTAAAATTAAAATTTAATTTGTATATGATTTACTGGTACTTACTGATTTCATCCACATTTTTAAGAAATTTCTGCAGGTCTTCCTCTTGATAGTCAGCCATTGTGAACCAGAATCCCTGAGGGAGGCAGCATACACGATGCAAATTAATAATAATAAAACACTAAACAGAATTCGTCAGGCTTATTAGACTGCTAAAACCAAGAGCCAAGTGATTATTTTAAAGACAGATTTGTGTTTAGAAAAGTCATGAATAACAAGCTGGGTGATCTATTTCATTCTGACTCCTGTTAAGGCCAAGGAACACTCATTACATGTGGTGATATTACCAGAAAGCTGCCAGCCTCCTCCAATGGGGAAACTGCTCTGCAAAATGTCCCCACAATGCCCACATCCACTGCGGATAAAGGATCTGGTGTGCAGGAGACCGGGTGGAGCAGCTGACAAGCCGCCAGGGATAGAGGACGCTAACCCTTGACTTTGATCTTGACAGGCTGGCCCAGCCAGAAGTTTAGACCTGACCTTGTGACAGGTAACCAGAAACAAGTAATCTGCATCTACATGTTCAAACTTGTTTAAAATATAAGCCTCGGGCTTGTTTCTGAGAAGTGAAGAGAAGCTACAAATTGACTGAGGGGCTGGAACCTGACCGTCCAGCCTTATCTTCTCTCCAGGTACTTGAGCTGGATCACCTCTCAGCTGTTTTTGGGTGAAAAGGCTTCACGCTGTAGCCAGTGGTTCCCAAAGGTCCACCCACAGATCATAAAAATCAAGCAAAAACTGATTTAGTACACAGATTCCTCAGCCTTAGGCCAGAGCCCCTCAGTAAGCTTGAGAGAGTACCCAGAAGTGTACAGTTTTAAGCACTCTCCAACTAATTCTGATTCACAGTTAGGTTTAATAGTAGTCTTCGAAGCCACCTTTAACTGGAAATTCCAGATCTGCCAGGAACAAGCAGTGAGTTATTTGATCTCTTTTGAGATCCCACCAGTTACATAAGCTGTGTTACCTTAGCTAAAGGCACAACCTCTCTGACTGTTACAGGCCTCATTGGTTCTAGCAAACAGGGCTATTTGCGGACAAATTAAAAGTGCCAGGCACTCGCGATGATGACTGGTTACTGTGAGTCATCATTATCTGTAAAATCAGGGCAGGGGATCTGTGTCTTAACTGAATGATCCACTGACTTCTTTCCAGCTCTAACAACTCAGGCTCCCGTTGGAACTGAGGCCTAGTCAAGTGAGTGAATGTGATCAAGGTTAGGAGGGGCAGAAGGCAGGCTCAGAACTACCCTGGGCAGGCACCAAGCCCTCGGCTCCCAGGGCGGGGTCTGACGGCGCGCCCTGCCTAGCCAGCAAACCCACGACCTGATAAGAAGGACAGGACTGGTGAGGCCCAAGAAGTTCTGCAGTGTGCACTTCACCAGCTAGAAGTCTGAGGCTCGCCTGGAGCCTCAGTGTGTGCCGGGGCCTAGACACGCCCCGCCCACCCGGCGCAGGAGGGCGGGGCCGCGGCATCGTTGCCTAGCAACTGCTCCGTAGCGTCCACCCGCCCATGGCCCGCCATGGGAGTCCTAGCCCACAGCTGATCCCATCCCATCGGCTGGAGCCCAAACCAGTGTCCTCTGCTCAGTTCTGACGAGAGATGAGGACCAGACCTGGGCGTGGGCAGGCTGGGCCACCCCGCTGCAGTTACCTGACGCGCGCCCAGGTCCGGACAGGAAATGGCGGCTGTGGGCTGGCGGTGACAGACTCGGACCGGGGAGGGGCGGGGCCGAGGGTGGGCGAGGCCCGAGCTCCGCCGCCCCGCCCCCGCGCTCTAGTTCGGGAGCGCGCAGCCAAGTTTAGGGCCGGCTCGGGCTAGGGATCTCTGAAGGAAAGGTTGAGGGGACGGGCAGAAAAGCCCAAGTGACCTGCGCTGATGCCTAAATGAACGCCAGGTTTTCTCCTCTTTTTCCTCTAGGGTTGGGGTGGGGGCGGTGGTGTCACTTCCATTAGCTTAATAATCCCTGGCCCCAAACGGGGAAGGTTAACAGCGGTAGGTGGGCGAGCCAGGCTTGCTTATTGGTATAAATGAGATCTTCGGAGAAGAGAGTTGTATGAAGACTCTGATCTTAAGTTTTCTTATGTGTGAAGTGGAGAAATGGCACTTTCTCCTGAATTTTGGTTAAAGTGCCAGGTGCCTGGTCAGTAGGGATAAGTTGGTTATTATCCAGGGAGTCATAGCATTTAGAATATAATGAGATAATGGTCTCATTCACATTTTGAGAGACAGAGAAAAAGTGATTGATTTACTGTAAGGAACTGGCTCACATCGTGGAGGCTGAAAAAGTGCACCATCTACAGTTCAGTTCAGTCGCTCAGTCGTGTGCAACTCTGTGACCCCATAGACTGCAGCACTCCAGGCTTCTGTATCCATCACCAACCACCTGAGCATGCTCAAACTCATGTCCTTTGAGTCAGTGATGCCATCCAACCATCTCATTCTCTGTCATTCCCTTCTCCTCCTGCCTTCAACCTTCCTCAGCATCAGGGTCTTTTCCAGTGAGTCAGTTCTTCACATTCAAGGCCAAAGTACTGAAGATTCAGCTTCAGCCTCAGTTATTCCAATGACTATTCAGGGCTGACTTCCTTTAGGATTGACTGGTTTGATCTCCTTGTGGCCCAAGGGACTCGCAAGAGTCTTCTCCAACATCATACTTGAAAAGCATCAATTCTTCGGCGCTCAGCTTTCATTATACTCCAATTCTCAACATCCGTACGTGACTACTAGAAAAACCAGAGCTTTGGCTAGATGGATCTTTGTTGGCAAAGTAATGTCTCTGCTTTTTAATATGCTGTCTAGGTTGGTCACAGCTTTACTTCCAAGGAGCAAGTGTCTTTTAATTTCATGGCTGCACTCATCATCTGCAGTGATTTTGGAGCTCCCCAAAATATCGTCTCTCACTGTTTCCATTGTTTCCCCATCTATTTGCCATGAACTGATGGGACCGGTTGCCATGATCTTAGTTTTCTGAATGTTGAGCTTTAGGCTAACTTTTTCACTCTCCTCTTTCACTTTCATCAAGAGGCTCTTTAGTTCTTTGCTTTTTGCCATAAGGGTGGTGTCATCTGCATATATGAGGTTATTAATATTTCTCTTGGCAATCTTGATTCCAGCTTGTGCTTCATCCAGTCCGGCGTTTCACATGATATACTCTGCATATGAGTTAAATAAGCAGGGTGACAACATAAAGTGTTGACGTATTCCTTTCCAATTTGGAACCAGTCTGTTGTTCCATGTCTGGTTCTAATTGCTGCCTCTTGACCCACATACAGATTTCTCAGGAGGCAGGTAAGGTGGTCTGGTATTCCTATCTGTTGAATTTTTCACAGTTTGTTGTGATCCACACAGTCAAAGGCTTTAGCATAGTCAATAAAGCAGAAGTAGATGTTTTTCTGGAATTCTCTTGCTTTTTCAATGATCCAATAGATGTCAGCAATTTGATCTCTGGTTCCTCCGCCTTTTCTAAGTCCAGCTTGAACATCTGGAAGTTCTCAGTTCACGGACTGTTGAAGCCTGTCTTGGAGAATTTTGAGCATTACTTTGCTAGCATGTGAGATGAATGCAATTGTGCTATACTTTGAACATTCTTTGGCATTGCCTGTCTTTGGGATTGTAATGAAAACTGATCTTTTCCAGTCCTGTGTCCACTGCTGAGTTTTCCAAATTTGCTGGCATATTGAGTGCAGCACTTGTATAGCATCATCTTTGAGGATTTGAAATAGCTCAACTGGAATTCCATCACCTCCTCTAGCTTTGTTTGTAGTGATGCTTCCTAAGGCCCACTTGATTTCGCACTCCAGGATGTCTGGCTTTAGGTGAGTGATCACACCATCATGGTTATCTGGGTCATGAAGATCATTTTTGTATAGTTCTTCTGTGTATTCTTGCCACCTCTTAATATCTTCTGCTTCTGTTAGGTCCACACCATTTATGTGCTTTTTTTGCCCATATTTGCATGAAATGTTCCCTTGGTATCTCGAATTTTCTTGAAGAGATCTCTAGTCTTTCCCATTCTGGTGTTTTCCTCTATTTTTTTGCATTGATCACTAAGGAAGGCTTTCTTATCTCTCCTTGCTATTCTGTGGAACTCTGCATTCAGATGGGTATGTCTTTCTTATCTCTCCTTGCTATATTTCTTATCACTCCTTGCTATTCTTTGGAGCTCTTCATTCAGATGGGTACAGCCATCTGTAGTTGGCAAACTGGAGACCCAAGGAACCAATAGAGTGAGTCCCAGCCTAAGTCCAAGGGCCTGAGAACTAGGAGAGCTGATGATAGCGTAGGTTCCAGTCTGAGTCTGAGTCCTAAGACAGGAGAAGACCAAGGTCCCAGCCAAATACAGTCAGGCAGAGAGAGAGAGAGAATTCTATTCAGGCCTTCAAATGATTGGTTGAGGCCCACCCACACTGGGGAGAGAGGTCTGCTTTACTCAGGCTATTGATTCAAGTGTTAATCTCATCCAGAAATACCCTCATAGACAAACCCTGAATAATGTTTAACCAAATATTTGAGTACTTGTGGGCCAGCCAAGTCGATGCATAAATTTAACTATCACAAATATCTGGTCACCAGACTCAAAGAGCTTATCACCTAAAGGGTGTTAAAGCTCAATAAGCAAATAATCATGTAAATTCTTATTGTGATAAGTGCTGTAAGATGTAAAGAGCGAAAAACAAAAGTACCAAAGGGTATTATGTCTCTTCCAAAGGCAGGTGGGTTCTTTACCACTAGCACCACCTGGGAAGCCCACCAAAGGGTACTATGAAAGTTTAGTCTCAAACCTTGGAGATTACCCCTGAGGACATGTTTCTGCTGAGTCTTAAGGGATCAGCGGGCATTGACCGGCTGGAGAAGGAGGTGGAAACAGAGGGGCTGGATGGACAGTCAGGAAGGAGCCTGACAAGGACGAAGCATCAGCAGGAGGCCAAGCTTGGCTGTAGCGTGGAGAGCAGAAAGTTAGCGGTGCAAGATGAAGATGGGCAGAGACCACACAGGGCCTTTGAAAGGTTCCGAGTCTTCCTCCTAAGTGCTACAGGCAGCTTCCAAGGGACTTGAGGAGAGGAGTGACCTGCTCAGATTTTTCATTTTAGAAAATCATTCTGGCTGCAGTGTGGAGAATGACTTGGATCGAGGCCAGAGGGGACTTTGGGAGACAAGTTAGAGGCTGTTGACAGTGTGTATTAGTAGAGGGAATAGAAGGGATTAGATGAATTTGAGTTGTATTTTGGAAGGAGAATTGACAGCAGGGGAATAACAACAATGACATTAGACTTCTGGCTTGAGCCAGAATAGGGCTCTCCATTGGCTGAGATGGAGAAAACTGGAGGAGAATCAGGTGGAGAGCCAGGTAATGAGTTCAGGTTTATATTCAGTGCAAGATGCCTTTGAGTTATTCAGGTGTAGATGCTGAATAAATTAGTTGTCCTTTCATAGTTACTCTCCTCTTCTTCATATCCTCCAATTTTTAGCAAAGTACAGACAGCTAGAATAAATTGTATTTCCCAGCTCTTCTCACATATGACTATTTCCTTACACATGACTGGGTCAATTAAATATAAGCAAAAGTGGTGGGTGCTACTTCTAGATAATTTCATTAAAAAAAAAAAGATTTCCTAAAAAAAAAAAAAGAAAAAGATTTCCTTCTCTTTACCTTTTATTCTTGTTGGTTGGAATGTGGACACGATGGCAGGAGCTGGATCAGTCATTTTGGACCATGAGGTAGAAGCAGTGTGCTGAAGATGGAAAGCTACAAGGTAGAAGGAACCTGTGTACTGATTGATGATCATGGAGTTACTGTACTGGTTTTGGACTCCATGTTTCTGGGTAGCAAAGCTATTTAACCTCAACAATATGTCAGGTTCTGGGATTCTAAAGACTTCTATGTTGTTAGAGTAACTGTTATCCTGGGTTTTCTGTCACTCTCAGTGAAACCTGATATTATCTGATGTGGAAGGCACTGTTCATTTATTCAGCCATAAAGAAGGCTGAGCACTGAAAAACTGATGCTTTTGAACTGTGGTGTTGGAGAAGACTCTTGAGAGTCCCTTGAACTGCAAGGAAATCAAACCAGTCCCTCCCAAAGGAAATCAATCCTGAATATTCATTGGAAGGACTGATGCTGAAGCTGAAGCTTCAATACTTTGGCCACCTGATGTGAAGAGCCAGCTCATTAGAAAAGACCCTGATGCTGGGAAAGATCGAAGGCAGGAGGAGAAGAGGACCACAGAGGATGAGATGGTTGGATGGCATCACTGACTCAATGGACATGAGTTTGAGCAAGCTCCGGGAGATGGTTAAGGACAGGGAAGCCTGGTGTGCTGCAGCCCATGGGGTCGCAAAGAGACACAACTGAGCAACTGAACAACAGTTCATTTATTCAACTAACCGTTTTAAACTTGATTTCCAATTTTTTTCATTACAGATCTTTTCAAATAGTCCAAATGATGTCATGCAAAATAGAAACATTGATATTTTAAAATAAAACATGTCAACTTTAAAATAATTTGTTGTCTGAAGGACTCAAACACCAGAGAAATTTGGCACCGAGATCACATAATTAAAAAGCACACGAAGGACTTCCCTGGTGGTCCATTGGTTAAGACTTCGCCTTCCCATGCAGGGGTGCAGATTTGATCCCTGATTGGGAGCTAAGAGTCCACATGCCTCTTGGCCAAAAACCAAAAGAATAAACAGCAGGAGCGATATTGCAACAAGTTCATTAAAGACTTTAAAAATAGTCCACACCAAAAAAAAAAAATCTTTAAATAAAAGCACATGAGTAATGTTTTATGTTAGAAGTTATTTTTTTCTCTTCAAAG